GGGGGGGCTGTGAATTTGCACACACTATTTTGTCATAGTTTTTCTTATCTTTTCATACAACATTTTTACCTCCAGTATTGACACACATGATTCTTTTTCAGAAATCATCGGAGACTTACCCTGTGATACATCCAGTCACTCCAGAGGTCATAGAGCATTTTGTGAAGTCAGATGTGTCAGTAGCCGACTTCTGGTCTCGTGGAGTCAGTAAGTGTCTCTAAACCTCACATCACGCATCAGTTAATCCTTTCACTCCTATGTAACTTCAGTAGCCTCTACCATGCATTGATCTGGATGAGTCCATTTTGGTCTACAGTGGTGAAAGGGTTAACAAGATAAACTGTGCGCTGTGAGCACTGCCAGTAACTACTGTGTACTGTACAACAGAAAAAAATCATGTTGAAATATTTGACCGTTACCTGTAAAATCAATAAGTGCCCAGTGATATTAATTTCCTATTCAGAGTGAAAATATGCTGTGTAGCGATGTGTATACTGAAATGTATTGTTATGATGAAGGTGCTATCGTATTGCATAGAAGGCAAAAGTTGGCATCAATAAACCATTTCTGGTATAAAGTGTCTCAACCAAACTTACAAATCTAACATTTCCTTTTATTACTGTCACACATTGCAAACCTTGGCCTTATAGAATCACAGTAGATACGAGGATGTATTTACGTCAACGTGTGGTACTTTATATACAGGTACATGTATCCTTTGCAGGAGTCATGTGTTATTTTTGCGGTAGGACAAATCAGCAATCTCAATGTGTGTCAACATTGGTAGTTTAAACCTTAAAACTGCAGAGTCCATGCTATGTGACAGGTTGTGTGAATTATTAATCTTGAACATTTAAATAGGAAGATAACTGATTGAGATCAAAGTAGTATTATGTAATTATCACTGTATTATTTGTCCTCAGATCTGCTATTCTGTAGTAACCACACACGCTCCACCAATCTGGGACTTCATATACTCGGTGAAATAATTCCACACATCGTGACACCAGGGGAGGTAAGTACTGCCACTGATGGGGTTAACATTGCTAATACACATTTTCTGTCCTGGTAGTTTGGAAGATATGAAGATTTGTCTTGAAGAGGATCATATTTGTGTAACAGGAAAGGGAAAATGCACTGCCAGTAATTCATTATTGTTTTGTTTCTTTATTTACGGTAATTTTCTAAAGATGTTACTCTGATATTCTCCAGTAAGTAAAAAGTTCTAATTTTCTAATAGGCCGAGTCTGTGTGGTGTCCGACAGTCCTGTCCGTACTGGTTCGACATATAGACAAGAAACTCAACAAGGATAACCCTGTACATGCTATGGCCAGCAAGGTGGTGAGTTGACAAATAGTTAGTTATGTTTTGTGTACCTGTATAATCTGTAGTTATAAGTCTTATTCAGTGTGACCTTTGACCTTAATACTTCCTGTAGTGGGGCCAGATTCCTTTTTCACATAGAAGATATAAAGCTGAATTAATAGCATTTCTATTTTAATTGATCAGTGGAACATGAAAGTTGCTATTATACTGTCATGTTCCTGTTAACCAGAATGCTTGACCGTCAAGCATTTTTGTACCTCTTCTTAGGAGAGTGATGATATAACAAGAAAATTCATTCATTCATAATTTTAGGTAGGTATTAGACTTAGACATTTCCTCTCTGATTTCACATGTAGATTTAATAAAAACACTAATTGAAATAATATGTACATTAGTACAGGCAAAGTTGTGTATTATATGCTAGAGAAAACATACAATCAAGATGGTCATTATTCTAAATGAGGTGTAATTGTATAAAATGCAGTTTTGGTAGACAGTTCTTGGTATATTAAAACTAGTAGTTCTGTTTTTAAGCATAAAGTGACTGACTAAATTCGTTGTTAATCCCACAGTTATTGTGTAAATCTGTGGAATGTCTATATAAACTAGTACATTTTATTTTTGTAGACCAACAGTTTGGTAACATATCTCCAGAAGTGTGGCGATGGTAAGATACAACATGCAGTGCTGACAAAACTGTTTGATCTGAAGGGTGAGAGAGTAAGCACAGATATGAGCCGAGTGATTGAGAGGATCACACTAAGTGTAAGTCATGTCAGTATGTACAGGGGTCACTGTAGACTAACAGAGGATCACACTAAGTGTAAGTCGGAATCAATGTCAAGGGGTCACTGTAGACTAACAGAGGGGCACACTAAGTGTAAGTCAGAATCAATGTAAAGGGGTCACTGTAGACTAACAGAGGATAACACTAAGTGTAAGTCATGTCAGAATGTACAGGGGTCACTGTAGACTAACAGAGGGGCACACTAAGTGTAAGTCAGAATCGATGTCAAGGGGTCACTGTAGACTAACAAAGGGTCACACTAAGTGTAAGTCATGTCAGAATGTACAGGGGTCACTGTAGACTAATAGAGGGTCACACTAAGCGTAAGTCAGGATCAATGTCAAGGGGTCACTGTAGACTAACCGAGGGTCACACTACGTGTAAGTCATGTCAGTATGTACAGGGGGCACTGTAGACTAATAGAGGGTCACACTAAGCGTAAGTCAGGATCAATGTCAAGGGGTCACTGTAGACTAACCGAGGGTCACACTACGTGTAAGTCATGTCAGTATGTACAGGGGTCACTGCAGACTAACAGAGGGTCACACTAATTGTAAGTCAGAATCAATGTCAAGTTGTCATTGTAGACTAACAGAGGGTCACACTAAGGGTAAGTCAGAATCAATGTCAGCAGGTCACTGTAGACTAACAGAGGATCACACTAAGTGTAAGTCTGAATCAATGTCAAGGGGTCACTGGAGACTAACAGAGGGTCACACTAATTGTAAGTCAGAATCAATGTCAAGGGGTCATTGTAGACTAACAGAGGGTCACACTACGTGGAAGTCATGTCAGTATGTACAGGGTTCACTGTAGACTAACAGAGGGTCACACTAATTGTAAGTCAGAATCAATGTCAAGTTGTCATTGTAGACTAACAGAGGGTCACACTACGTGGAAGTCATGTCAGTATGTACAGGGTTCACTGTAGACTAACAGAGGGTCACTCTAAGTGTAAGTCGTGTCAGTATGTACAGGGGTCACTGTAGACTAATAGAGGGTCACACTAAGCGTAAGTCAGGATCAATGTCAAGGGGTCACTGTAGACTAACCGAGGGTCACACTACGTGTAAGTCATGTCAGTATGTACAGGGCTCACTGTAGACTAACAGAGGGTCACACTAAGTGTAAGTCAGAATCAATGTCAGCAGGTCACTGTAGACTAACAGAGGATCACACTAAGTGTCAATAAATCAATAATGTATTAATTAAGGATATTTGGGGCAGAGGAATGAGGCCAAATAGCAGAATTTGGATTAAATTAAAAAAACAAAAATGTTTTGAATATGGATGAAGAGATGAGAATGTATTTGGTGTTGAATAGCTCCAGTTGAAGGTGCTAGGGGATTCATTAACATACATATGGTAAATGAAGGGTATAAATCTTACCATGGGTGAACTTTTTCTGACACAATAATAATTTTCCTTGTTAAAATACAAAAACTATTTTTATTTTCCAGTTGACATCAGATGGAGCTGAGCGTTATGGAAATTTCTTAATGAAATACTTTGCTGACACTATTGAAAGGAGGTATGCTTTTAGTTCTAGTTTTGTCAGATTGGTTTTACCTGTAGATATTAATGGATTGATTGGGGATTGAAGTCAAGGTTCTTCACTGCAGATGATCATCAATATCCATCTCCTGGCTATGATAGGGGTGTTATGGTCTCATTCCCTGTGACACATAGTCAAATAGTATCTTGATGACTTGTTAACAAAGTTATTGAAACTAACTTCAGAATGAATAGATTTGGTAATGATATCCATTTGGATGTGCTGGAGTATTGAGCTACTATAAAGTAACACCTGAAACAGAAATAAATGTAGAAATTATCATGCAAAGGTGAAACAAGTTCAGGCCATATATTCTTGCATGTTGCTGAAGAATATATTTCTATATATAGATATGTATTGTGATGTGTTGTGTTAGATATGCTTTTACTGACACTGATTGGTCATTATTCTGTTTACAAGCTATGCCTACTTACAGGGATAACCAAGAAGAGCAATGGTCAAGGAAGGTCATAGTTCGAATGAAGGACGTCATTTCTGAAGTGCGGAATCTAGTCACTCTAAACAGTACTTGTACTGATCATGACCGTCAGCTACATCTGTTACAGTTTCTAGCCGTACACTCGTTCTGGGTTGTGAGCAGACGTACGGAGGTAGTCCATGTAAGTGCATACTGTGTCTGATTGGCCATGAGATCTAGAGTGTTGGGCAGGGTTTGAACTCTGTTGTGTTGGTAGGTACTGGATTGACTCCCCGCAATGTGTCGGATCTTTGAATAGGGTCTTTGTGTCGAATCTCTGAAGAGGGTCTTTATGTCGGATCTCTGAATAGGGTCTTTGAATCATAGGTTAACGTTATACAACATGAACATTCAACTGACTGTTCTTTTCAAGTCAACCATCTATTTCTAAACTTAGTGAGAACACTGAAATATCTGTTTAACTTGTTGTATTTTCCCTAAAACATTAATTACCTTTTCCTTTCCCTTTAAATTTCACTTTCTGTATTTGTCCTTTTCAGATTTCACTATTTTCCCTGTCATATGTAACTAGCTGTATATATTAAGTGTAAGTTGTACCTTGTTTGATATTTCAGTGTACACGGACCAACAGAAGTATAGATAATGTAATGAGGAAACATATACAGGATAACTTCTTCAAAGCCCTTAACAATCTTCTTGTCTATAAAACAGGTAATGTATGTTCTTTGCTGTGGTCCCAGGTTTTTGAAACATTTCAGCTTCTGTAGAATAGTTGAGGTGATATCAACATGCTGTTTATTAATTCCAGACAAAGTGTTTGTTGCTTTTCAAGTTAATTGGAAAATCCAAAATGTAAGCCATAGACAAATTGGGCGAGACATTTTCAAATTTTTGTCATGAACCGCTACAGCATTTTACTCCAAACTTAATACAAATGTTTATTATGAAGTTCTTACCAAGTGTTTTTACTTTTTATGCCAATTTGAAATTCCCAGGTGGCACCCTTGCCTCTGATTGACTGTGATGTATTATCCTTACTTCCCCAGCTGTAGTGCTCGACCTTACACTTGTAACAATTGTACACCCTCACCCTAGTATAGGGTTATGTAGCAGTCACGTAGTCGGTGCATGTGTGTGTTCATCTGTATTAGACTAGTATAGGGTTATGTAGCAGTCACGTAGTCGGTGTGTGGTCATCTGTATTAGAAAGCTGGTGTACAAGATATCACATGAACCCCTAAACACATGTAGTCCTGTTTATATTTTTGTGGTCATTGGTCAAGGTTAAAGGGTCAAAGTTCACTGGAAAAGTGGGCTGGAGGAAGAGGGGGTGGGGGTTATCTATGCTCTGCTCACTTTGTTTTTATTCTGTATATGGTTCTGACCAAAGTCTCCACTGTGAAAAATAGTATTTTCCATCTCTGAATCATTTCTTGAAAACTAATTACCATGCAAAGTTCAAACTTGGTGTGTGGGTAGCCCTAACCCTAGCCCTAGCAGATACAAAGAATCTTACTGATTTTTGCTGTGGTACACTAAAGGTCATGGTCACTTTTGGTAAAATAGAGTTTTGCTTGAACAGAGGTTGTTCAACTTAAAAGCCAATCATTATACAAGGTTTAAAATCTGCATTTCATATCCAGAAATTGGTATTACCTCCACATAGAATTATTCTAAAACGGATTGTTCAGATTTCTGCATGAGTTACCTGCACTTCTTGAACACAAGTCCATGGTGGATTGATAGTAAATCCCCTCAATGCAGCCCCTGGTGGCTATCACATTTACAGAGTATATATGTTTCATATTACAGAGAAGTCAAAATCTACCTCTGTGATTGCGTATATACACACAGGACAACGGCTGATACAGTATATGCAGGTACGTTCATGTATACATAGACATTCAACCCATCTATAGCTACTGCTCGGAGGATGGGTATAAAATCATGGTGTCACTGAAAAGTTTCTATTCAATAACATTACAAAAATAAAAATGACTATATCTGAACTATCAAGGAAGATAAAAATACAAAGAATTATATTGGATGAGAATAAATGATATATATTTTGTTCCTGTCTCAAGATTTTTGATTGTCATCATCTGTTGTTATACATTCATTTCATGTCACATGGCTTTTGTTTGTTTTAACATCAATTATTCATTTGTTGCAAATGCTGCACCCTAAGTGATAATTATAAGCAATTTAGAATCTTTGTGTTTTTGGCAGACATTGATGAAGAGTGATAATGCTGCTATATGCCTGGTTATGGAGCAACAAGATAAGGTATACATTTACTGTTAAAACTAGACTTGTAAGGTTTTCGACAAGGTTATTTGTAAAGCTGGAGTCTGGCTGTGTAGCTGGCTAGACAATACTGGAAGCTCGCTACTCTGAGACTAGTGAAATCTTCAGCTGGACTAGGGGTTCTGAAAACCGCTAGCCAGATTGACTAGTCAAAATTTGATGTTTTTGAACATGTTGAATAATATTGGGTAATAAGTGGAATTTGTACATGAATTAGTAACAATGGAAAATATTAGCCTGACTGAAGAGTAGCTCTTAAAATTAATTTCTAGCCTGTTGAGGTGGAGAGCATGTGAGAGTAAATATCTGGTGAAGACCTTTGGACTTCTGTAGTAAATAAGTAATACAGTGATATTACACACTTCACATTTACACTGCAAAGAGGTAGTGATATGTATGTTGTCATAATCAAGCTGATGTGTCCCCCCCCAAATGTTTTAGATACCTCGGGAGTGGAAGGCAGATTGGAACAAGGTGCTGGAAACTATGGAGTCTGTTCAAACTAAGGTAAGAGCTAGCTGTATTAACCCTTAGGCTGCTACGCGCCACAATTGTAATTTCGATAAGTCGGGTCGTCAGTGCTACGCACCGCATATGTGGCTCTCGGTCTGTAGGGTTTTGATCAGTAAACAGGAAGTGTGAAAGCGGATTGTTGCTATACCAAACTCGAACGCGTATAGTAGAAGGTTTCTGATTGGTTGTTTTGTCATTACTTTCGATATTCCCGGCAATGTACCCTAGTAATAACCAAAGGTGTGCGAGATAATTTCAAATCGGAAACAACGTCATAAAAATGGCAGACGTGTAGATTGAAGTGATGAATATAATGGTAAACATTTATTCTCCAGCGTCACCTTTGATGATAATAAAGGTTTTGAAGGGTTTGACATGGTTGATGTGGAAACACTTCGGTGTAACATAATATGTAACTTTCCAATGAACGGCTTTGTGCCCTACGCAAACATGAAAATATCGGCGGACCGAGGCGCACATGTTGTCTGCAGGTAAGGCCGAATTGAACATTGACATTGATACGTTTGGAGCCGATTGATTTCTTCAAACCATTTATCGATGATTTAATCATAAACTAGACCGTAGCTTAGATATATCTATATGCCGACTGTGACAGTAAATATATTGAATGACGACCTGAAACCTGTAGCAAATCACATGCAATTCTTGATGAAATACCTGACCTTTTTACCTGAGAATCTCTTATGTCATAAATGAAGTTTATAATCTCTGTTATCATTTGCCAATCACATTCGCTGACAAAAATAATTTTAAAATGATCTTTCTGGTGCTTAAATCAGATTAATTAAAAGTTTCACCTTTTCTTACCTTTATTACCACCTGTACAGGTAAATACTGAAGCAACTTTAGAATTGAAAACGTTAATATAAACTAGAAACACTAACAAACAATTTTCATATAACTTTATTCACATATAACAAATATTTTTCAAGTTATGCACATTTGAAAAATCAAGTAAATTAATTTATATTTCAATAATGAATTCAGCAGTGGTTTCCCTTTACATAGAAATCAATGTAGCAGCCTAAGTGTTAAACTTTACATAGAAATCAATTTAGCAACCTAAGTATTAAACTTTACATAGAAATCAATGTAGCAGCCTAAGGGTTAAACTTTACATACTTAGTAAGTATAACTTACTTGGAAAGAGGTGGGGGTATATACCAGGTAATATTTAAACAGGTTTCGTCTAGCCTAGAGTCCTAATACTGGGTTATAGATTCCTTGTATTTTCATGCAGTTTAACCAGACTTAAAATGTTACTACATCTTTGGGTAGATGTTTCGCATCCTTAAACTAGATTATTGTGAACTACAATTTCTATTCCACTACGCATTAAAGTTTAAACTTGTATCTGTGGGTGAAGGTGTGTTTTGTACAAGAATTAGGCCACAGTGACCAGTGTAAGAGTTCATAAAATTACATTGCTGAATGTCTATATCTCATGTTCAGGTTTCAAAAATAACTCTGAACAATAAAGCGGGAGAGGGAGTTTATACTGAGCTTTGCTAAGTGCTAGCTTTCAGGTTTATTACACTTTATAAGTAATGTATAAGTTCTATCTCAGCCTTATGAAAAACCAGTAATTATAAGTTATTTATAGATACTTTTTTGTGTACATGTGTTGTGATAAGTCCAAGGTTTTGTTATATGTATCCAGCACATTCCGGATGATTCTGACAAGATGACCACCGGACATGCCTTTTTGTTACTGCTGTTTTATAACATCACCCAGCTGCTGGTCGACCCCGCTACTGCCTCCAGTCACCTAGAGGTAAGGCCAAGGTCATGCCCTTTTTATCCTTGTCTACAGGTATGCTTGTCAAGGTTATGTCCTTTTTTATCCTTGATTACAGGTAAGCATACCAAGGTCATGTCCTTTGATCCTTGTCTACAGGTAAGTATTTCAAGGTCATGTTCTTTCTTTGATCCTTGTCTGCAGGTAAGCATGCCAAGTTCATGTTCTTTCTTTGATCCTTGTCTACAGGTAAGCATGCCAAGTTCATGTTCTTTCTTTGATCCTTGTCTGCAGGTAAGTATTTCAAGGTCCTATCTTTAATCATTTCCTTTAGGTCTGTCCTTTTTTTGAACTTTATCTTTTATGTTCTCCAATGATGCTCTAATCTTAGTGGTTTCACTGCTGGCAGCTGGCATTTACATATACAGGTTTATATACGAGAGTAATCCTGACTTTTAACAGCCTTCCTTCAAAATTTCCCAAAAAACGAGTTTAGGGTAGGCAGAAAAATTTAAGGTAGGTAGGATAAGTGTGTGTATTCAATAATTTAGTTGATTATGTCTTATCATCAGTTGTGTGACTTCAGATAAACTTTTGCCATCAGTAGAGTATTTTTTATCAATAATAGAATGGAAACCCTCGCAAACCTGTAGGAAGCTTTAGTTGATTGTCCAGTCATGTCTGCTATAGCACTACAGGAAGTTTATTCTACAGGATGTGTATGGATGTCTGCAGAACGCCTTCAAGTCCAAACGAAAATCTGTTTCTCAAAAGTCTGCCGAAGGTAAGTAGTCTTCTGAAAACTATTTCAAACTTATGTTTACGTTACTCAATCATATCGCCAATAATTTACTCGTATCAAGTATCGACAATAACAAACAAATGTAAAGTAATGTTAGTGGCGTTAATTTGTGTTGATATTAATTCATTCACCCCTGAAGACACATTTGAACTCTTCCAATACAAAGGTTGGAATAGTTCATTATGGAATTTCAGGGATGATTGAGTGAACTTACCGTTTTTAAGTTAGCTACTCATGTTGACAAAATCTTACTCATGTTGATGTTAATTTGCTTAAGCTTAAGTTAACCTGCTCATATTAATGTCAACTTACTGATGCTGACGTTGACTGTTTAGAACCGGAGTGGATAGAAGTGATGACAGAGGTTCTGATCAGTATGATGTCACAGGGGTCAGTGCTGGCCAGAACTACAGCTACAGATGTGTACATGGCTATTGCTGACCACTTAACACCAGCCTCTGTCCAGCTCATTGTTGATGTGAGTTTTATATTCCTAATTTGATTGCTGCAAGCTGATGTATATTTTTCATGCCAACTGAAAACTTGTTTCCGATAATTTCTGAAAGAGGTCCGTCAGATTTTTGTCAAAACTTTCACTCAATATTTTGATATTCCTGGGTTCCTGGCATCATTTGAATTTATGATCGATCTGTTTGGTAAAAAAAATTAACGTAATCTGAACAATTATTTTTTGGCACCTGAAAATTGCATCTTTTGCAAATGATGTGAATTTAAGGACCTATTTATGAGAAAAAAGCAAGTTCTTTTCGATTCGTTTACTTTCTATTTATATATTTTTCTGACTGTCACTTTTTATTTACTGTGGCATTTAAAAAATAAATTGCTCTCAAAAAAGTAAACTAGTTCTGAGAGGGTGTCATCCATGCTGACATGTCCTGGAGGTCTGTTGTAGTGTAGAGTTTATTGATATCCAACTTTTAGACAAAACAAACTATTGATAAAATCAAACCTCCTATGTTACCGAGTTCTGAAATGTTTTTGGTTATTTCAAATATTTTCATTTATGCCCATTTGGTTGTTTGACTGATTTGCCTCCCTAATTCGGTGTTAAGGAATCCTGTGGCTCTTAATTTATCTGGTCGTAACTTTCCCTACCATTTGAAAGCTGAGTGACTTTGCTACAGTTGCTACCTCTTGTTGACTTTGCATTCTTAAAGGAGATGATGTAGTTATTCCTCTGTTGATTAGGTTCTAATGGCAGATGACAAGGAAGGTAGTGATGGCCCAGTAAGCTTTGAGGATGATGAGCAGGACGATGAGATGGAAGGTGTCGAAGAGGAAGATGGTAACACAATATTATTTTGAAATGACAGATTTTAGATCTTTATATGAACTTTAAAGTTCAGGAATTCATACTGATCAGTAATCATTGCCATAAATAGTCTTAATATTTTAGAACTTTAAAAAAAAAAACAATGTTCAATCTTAATGCCATATGTTGAATCATACCCATGGTAAATATAAAAAGGAGTATTAAGATAGAATAATTATGTTATGATATAGACACAATATACTAATAATAATTTAAATATAGGAAACTTCAAAGAGATTTTTTTGTTGTTGTTGCAATATTAGGATATAAAATTATGTATATATGACAGAATGCAAATAAATATATATCTAGGTTTTTAAATAAGGATTTTCATATGTTGTGAAATATAATATCATGTTGTAATATTTGAAATACATCTGCAAAACTGACCATCTTTTTCACATTGTGTGACATGGCCAACAGCGATAGAAGGGGGAAATGGAGAAGTAGAGGAGGAATCTGAGTCGAGTGAGTCTGAGGAGGAGGAGGAGGAGGAGGAAGAGGAGGAAGAGGCCGTGAACGAGGAGTTCCGTCAGAAGTTGAGGTCAGCATTGGGACCAGCCGCTGATGTAGAGGAAAGTGATGACGAGGTCAGTTCTTGTACAAGATAAACAAAGCTAGATTTTTAGGCATGACACATAGATACAAAGATACAAACTGGTGTTAGGTACTACTGAGAACCATTATTACCTGGTATTGTAATAATTTATATGTGACTATGTGTAAACTAATCAATCAATCCTGGTATACTCTCTCACTATGTGTAAACTAATCAATCAAGCCTGGTATACTCTCTCATTATGTGCACAATCAAGCCTGGTATACTCCCTCACTTTGTGGACAATCAAGCCTGGTATACTCTCTCACTATGTGGACAATCAAGCCTGGTATACTCTCTCACTATGTGGACAATCAAGCCTGGTATACTCTCTCACTATGTGGACAATCAAGCCTGGTATACTCTCTCACTATGTGGACAATCAAGCCTGGTATACTCTCTCACTATGTGGACAATCAAGCCTGGTATACTCTCTCACTATGTGGACAATCAAGCCTGGTATACTCTCTCACTATGTGGACAATCAAGCCTGGTATACTCTCTCACTATGTGGACAATCAAGCCTGGTATACTCTCTCACTATGTGGACAATCAAGCCTGGTATACTCTCTCACTATGTGGACAATCAAGCCTGGTATACTCTCTCACTATGTGGACAATCAAGCCTGGTATACTCTCTCACTATGTGGACAATCAAGCCTGGTATACTCTCTCACTATGTGGACAATCAAGCCTGGTATACTCTCTCACTATGTGGACAATCAAGCCTGGTATACTCTCTCACTATGTGGACAATCAAGCCTGGTATACTCTCTCACTATGTGGACAATCAAGCCTGGTATACTCTCTCACTATGTGGACAATCAAGCCTGGTATACTCTCTCACTATGTGGACAATCAAGCCTGGTATACTCTCTCACTATGTGGACAATCAAGCCTGGTATACTCTCTCACTATGTGGACAATCAAGCCTGGTATACTCTCTCACTATGTGGACAATCAAGCCTGGTATACTCTCTCACTATGTGGACAATCAAGCCTGGTATACTCTCTCACTATGTGGACAATCAAGCCTGGTATACTCTCTCACTATGTGGACAATCAAGCCTGGTATACTCTCTCACTATGTGGACAATCAAGCCTGGTATACTCTCTCACTATGTGGACAATCAAGCCTGGTATACTCTCTCACTATGTGGACAATCAAGCCTGGTATACTCTCTCACTATGTGGACAATCAAGCCTGGTATACTCTCTCACTATGTGGACAATCAAGCCTGGTATACTCTCTCACTATGTGGACAATCAAGCCTGGTATACTCTCTCACTATGTGGACAATCAAGCCTGGTATACTCTCTCACTATGTGGACAATCAAGCCTGGTATACTCTCTCACTATGTGGACAATCAAGCCTGGTATACTCTCTCACTATGTGGACAATCAAGCCTGGTATACTCTCTCACTATGTGGACAATCAAGCCTGGTATACTCTCTCACTATGTGGACAATCAAGCCTGGTATACTCTCTCACTATGTGGACAATCAAGCCTGGTATACTCTCTCACTATGTGGACAATCAAGCCTGGTATACTCTCTCACTATGTGGACAATCAAGCCTGGTATACTCTCTCACTATGTGGACAATCAAGCCTGGTATACTCTCTCACTATGTGGACAATCAAGCCTGGTATACTCTCTCACTATGTGGACAATCAAGCCTGGTATACTCTCTCACTATGTGGACAATCAAGCCTGGTATACTCTCTCACTATGTGGACAATCAAGCCTGGTATACTCTCTCACTATGTGGACAATCAAGCCTGGTATACTCTCTCACTATGTGGACAATCAAGCCTGGTATACTCTCTCACTATGTGGACAATCAAGCCTGGTATACTCTCTCACTATGTGGACAATCAAGCCTGGTATACTCTCTCACTATGTGGACAATCAAGCCTGGTATACTCTCTCACTATGTGGACAATCAAGCCTGGTATACTCTCTCACTATGTGGACAATCAAGCCTGGTATACTCTCTCACTATGTGGACAATCAAGCCTGGTATACTCTCTCACTATGTGGACAATCAAGCCTGGTATACTCTCTCACTATGTGGACAATCAAGCCTGGTATACTCTCTCACTATGTGGACAATCAAGCCTGGTATACTCTCTCACTATGTGGACAATCAAGCCTGGTATACTCTCTCACTATGTGGACAATCAAGCCTGGTATACTCTCTCACTATGTGGACAATCAAGCCTGGTATACTCTCTCACTATGTGGACAATCAAGCCTGGTATACTCTCTCACTATGTGGACAATCAAGCCTGGTATACTCTCTCACTATGTGGACAATCAAGCCTGGTATACTCTCTCACTATGTGGACAATCAAGCCTGGTATACTCTCTCACTATGTGTAAACTAATCAATCAAGCCTGGTATACTCTCTCACTATGTGTAAACTAATCAATCAAGCCTGGTATACTCTCTCACTATGTGGACTACCTTTGAAGGAGCTGACAGGAATGGAGAGCAGCATTTGCTAGTAATATTTAATCACAGAATTCATTAATCTTAGGATTTTAATTCAAACTTTCATCCCATCATCCTTGCTCCTGTGTCAAATTATCTTGCCAGTTTATAAGATTCTGAAGTGATTTGTTAGATATTGTTATGGAAGGATTTAGTATAACTTGCCCTCCAATCTCTTCAATTATTAATTTCAACAAAGAATTCAATCTTGACACTTGCGGTCTTCTCAGAGAAAGGTTTGGAGAGACCAGAAGCTGATGTAAACAAATTCTAAAGTTTGTTTTAATGATTTACTTTCTTTAAGCATAGAGCCGGTTGGTTCACTATTTGATACATGCAATTTTTAGAAATACCTTGTATTCTCATATTTATGAAAATGTGCTTCCTTATAACAGGAGTTAGAAGACATGAGTGACAGTGAAATGTTTAAGCTGGATCATGTGATTGCGGCGGCCTTCAAGGGAATGAGGCAGGCTAAAGCAAAGGAGAAGAATGATAACAAGAAACAAATGCTGGCCTTCAAAATACGGTAACATTCTCACTGATATGTTGGGTAAATTGTTCGCATCCTTCCAGATTATATTTACAATGTTTTCCTCGAGTGCCTACTACAGGTGTTAAATAACTATTTGCTATCTGGAGTTGTACAATGCAATTCGCATGATTTATTCTGGAGAAAAATGATTCAAATAGAATATTTAATGATTTTATCATTGAGGGGTATGTAAAAGAAAAAATTACTACAAATCATATATACAAGTCATAGAAGGAGAACAGAAGTTACCTATATAATTGTGTGTAATTATTGAGGTATCCTGGACCTTTCATTATTTATTGAGGTATCCTGGACCTTTCATTATTTATTGATCTTTGAAGCTTACTGGATTTGCTGATGGTGCTAGCCAAAGAGAAAATGTCTGCTGATGTTGTCATGGTGAGTCGATCGACTGGTAGTGTTTTAACATTGGTCTTTAGACTAAGTCAACACACTCTTACTGCTTTTATAATGGTTGTTTCAGACCAAGCCCGTATCCATAAAATCTTCTAATTTTGCTCTGCAGTGCTGAAAACCTGATTTTCTCAAATGCTCAGATTCTTGTGATGGAATCAGAAAGTAAAGGTGTTAAATTTTTAATGTAAATTTTTATGAAAAAAGTCAATTTTTACAATGTGTTAAATGATTTATTCTGTCCAGGAATTGAACCTACCTTTACTTGAGCTGATGTTGAATGGAGAGAAAAAGAAAGAAGAAAGAGCGCTTGGGCAGCATGCTCAGAAACTATCACAATTAATGTACAGACAAGGAAAGGTAGGAAGGCGTATATCGCTTTATAGGCAGGTGTGATTTATTCTGATTCTTAATATATTTCTGTTTGATCACTTGATCATCTATTTTACTTGCCCTTTGGGATATCTGGATTACCTTTGACTTTATGCTGTTGATATGAAATTTGTCAACTCGTTTCTTGTGGTTAAAACGAAGCAGTATTCCAAAACACCTGCTATCTCTATCAGACATGCTGTACAAATCTAATCATGTTTTGTACTTCATGCTTGATAAAAAAATCAGACGATTTGAGGAAAAAGAATAGTGCAAGTTTTAACCAAATTTTGTATAAATCAAATGTTTACAAACATATTCTTCAAAAATTGTGAATGTAATTGAGAATTTAATAGTCATGTAATGGTCATTATTATCAAAACCCTATTAAACAAATTCACATATAATTTATATATGATATTTACATTGTCTGGTGACACTTCATATTACTGTGAAGACAAGGACAGTAGTTTGTGTCAAATCTAGATAGGAATAAGCTTATGACTTGTAAGGTATTGTTTTTATCACATACCTGTTGAATCTTGTTATAGTCATACAAGCAATTTTCAGACCATAAAATACAACATTCTGTATTGCACATGTGCAATACGGAATGTTGTATTTACCTACTGGTCGGAATTATTTTTTATGGAAATCCCTTTGTCATGGCAAACTGAAAAGTTCCTGGTATTTGCAAAAAATATCAAAGTTTATAAAATCTTTGTATTGATCTCTACCAAATACGGAAGGTATGTGATTAAAGCAAGACCACACACTTGTGTTTTTCTACTCGTGAATATATTTGTCTGTGCAATAAACTCTAGCTTTCTGATTCGTTAGAAAAACACAAGTGTGTGGTCATACGTATGTATACAATTGAACTATTTGGGTATAAACAGTAAATATTTGGGTATAAAGAGTAAATATTTGGGTATAAACAGTAAATATTTGGGTATAAACAGTAAATATTTGGTATTTTAGGAGCTGCACGATGGTGATCTTGACAAAGAGGCCTGCACAGAACGCATCATGGACATCATACATTTCTCTACACGACGTAAGCTTCATCTTATTCATTTCTCATTGCTTTTGCTATCAGATACAGAATGAAAAATGGATTTATCATCTACAGAAAATTTTGAAAAAAAACTCTTTACATAGAAAGATGATGAAACACTTTTCAAATGTTGCTATGTTGCCTGGTCTTAGACAGGTTTTATTTGTTGAGTGAGGGAACACATGTGGATGTACATGTCTAAATGTTTCCATAAATATCCACCTTAAACTGACAGGACACCTGACAGCAGCATCCAAACACTAGAACATCAGTTGAGCGAGGCTTGTTGGTGGAATAAAATAAGGCATCTTGAGGCAAATTTTTACATGCAAAAGAACAGCCGGAATTTGAAGAAAAAAAAGATTATCTTGTTCGTGTTGCCTTCTTGGTACTGAGTTAGACAAAAATGACATTTTGATGTAGTAGAATAGATATTATCAACATATGTTTGTATGTTATTGTGGAGTATAAAATCAAGGATTTGAAATGATGGAAAATCAATTAACTTTTTCCGAAGTGGTCTTCATTAATAGTTTTCTTTCAACATTTTCTTAATTTCATCATGTATTACCATGATAATACATCCAGGTTTGTGGTTTATTTCTCTGGTAAAAAGTAGCAAAAATATCCATTTTCCAATTGCCATACATGTGTATGCATAAAATGACATTTTTAACTGATACCTTGTTTGTTTGTTAGATGTCTCAGGAGTGTAGTTATCTAAGAAATATGTTAAATACCGCAAACGTAATATTGTTAAATGTTTACATTGGGTGTCGAGGCTTATTTTTCCTTATTTATTAGACATAAATGGGGAAGTGAGACATAAACACTGTCATAGTAAGAAACTGTTGTTGATTCCATGTTTTTATCTTCAGCCATACTGAGCCAGTCTCTTGTCAACTCGGTTTCCGATGCCTGTCTACTTGTAGTAAGTATTAGATGTCAGATCTTTAAATCAGAGTTACTACAGTTTTATCTTTATTAGAGTTTTATGAACAAAACCAGTAAATATTAATCCCTCTTATCATGTATGTGTAGTGCTTTAGAGTTAGTTTGAACCTCACTATGACAAAGTATGTTGAGATTAACATGGAACTGTGTAATGCTTAAATTCCTCTGTATAATGCTTAAATTCCTCATTTCAAATTTTTGTGATATTTTTCCTTCAATTCCAAGTGCCAGAGACATTTGTGATATTGTTTTATAATTAATTTGCAGTGTTCAATTTTAATGCAACATTATTAATAATAAATAATTCTTACAAACTCTCTATTGTAAGGTCTGACGGTGTATATTTTGCCATGATTTTTACAGACTGCAGTTATACTGAAAAAAATAGAGCCCCTTACAGAAAATTATCGATATACAGTAAATATAAGTGCTATACTGTAAATATAACTGCTAGATAGTAAATATGAATGTTATACTGCTTTACAATAAGTTCATTTGCAAGGCAGTGAATATCATCACTCTAACATTAATTATAAACTATACACTCAATATAACTGCTATACGTAGTAAGTATAACTACTACACATAGTATACAGAAGATGTTATCCCTATACAGTTAATGCAACTACATACAGTATAATGAAATAGAAATGCTACACAGTAAACAAAGTCACTGCTATACAGTGTATATAAGTATGATAGGGTAAAGCAGTACTTTTAACTACTTCGTGTAACAGCAGCAGGGTATGAACAAGGGGCGTTAATGACTTAAAATAAAACATCAAAAATAAAATTGTAGCAATTCCTCTGTTTAATATATCATTAGGGCATTGCTTGCCTTTTACTAATTAATTCTGATTGACTTTTTAATAAGAGCATTGTATAGCTCAAAATATCAATTAAATATTTATATATAATTGAAACATAAATGGAATTATCTCCCCTATACCATCTGTTATATATAGACTGCTTATAATATATAATTTGCATCAATATTTTCCTATTAACCGTTTCACTTCGTCTTTGTCTTTGTGATTTAAACCTAAGGAGAGAACTTATATAGGCCTAGCCTGCTGTTCAGTCCTATTGTTTACTCAATAAAATATGATGAAATGAAAGGGGCAGTACTGTTACATTAATATTGCAGTTTTGTAAATATTTAGAACGGGTAAGTGTTATACAGTTAATGTTACCACCATACCTTAGTAAATTGCTTTACAGTAAGTATATTAAGTACTAAACAGTAAATATAAATACTATGTTGTAGGGCTGTCACAATATATCGGAAAACAGGTATATTGAAATACACGGGTATATCGTATCACAATACAAAGATGAAATACTGCTGTATCACAATATTTTTCAAAATTGGATTTTTGTGTATCTGCTTGGTGTTTTAACTTTGCAAATAACTACAAATTCTAACAGATATGCCAATAAGCATAAAGCAGGCTTTTAATAGTTCAAATTTTGTAAGTGGTTGACAAAAATCATAAATCTATGTAATCCATATTATATATGATTAAGTTTGATAACATTCCGACAACAACTTTTACCATATCTTATAATTACCATCTTTGATTTTCCTGAATGTGATATTTTATCTGCTTGATGTTTGACTCTACAAGACATTTAACAGTATGATATTTAGCTGATCTGTTATTTTACCTTGTCTGATATTTACAATCCATGACATTTACTTTCCTGATATTTAAATATAAAATAATTATTTACCATATTTGCTTTGCTCTCTCCAGATCCTGTTATATATGAACGTGGGTGCTGCCACTGGAGAACCATCACCAGTCAGGACTCGGTCACGTAATGGGCCCAAGAAGGACCAGCCTAAGAAGGACCATACTGACACCCCAAAGGTATAAGCAAGGGGAGCTGACAGTATTTGTTAAAGGAGGTGGGGGAGGTATTCAGGTAACAAGTAATAGAAATGTCATCTAAAATGCTATATTGTTGTTCGCTAAAGCAATTTTACATTTAAAGTTAATCTAGATTGTACTTACATGGGTTAATTTTTTAATTGATACTTATAAGCCCATCAAAAAATGTAATGGATGGTATGGGGAGCATCGGTTTGTCCACACCTTGTCCTGTAATAGTAGCTATTGTTGTGAGAGATATTTGTGCTGTATGTTGATGACACACTAACAGTTATACTGGTACCTAGGTTGTGTCCACTCCTTACATTTCCATATTTTCATACATTTAAATACAATAATGAGTCAGAAGGATTCTAAGTATGTCAGACATTGGATGGGCGTATATTGTTCCATCCTGCGGTATTCTTATTAAACTATATAGGTAGGGTCAGGGTTAGTCCTATGTTACATGTGGTAGATATTGTAGTGAGAGATACTGGTGCCGTAAAAGGTTTTAATTCTGTATGTTGATGACACACTGTCAGAGTAACAGTTATACAGACATTTACCTGTCTACTTCATAACCAGGTGAGACATGATGAAGTAATGGAGATTATCAAAGATAACCTCGACCAATGCCTTCACGGACGATCAATTAAGGACAAAACCGGCAGGTAATTGATACACCTCACCTAGTAACATGATTCTGTTGTAGTGAGTTCAGTAGTACAGTGTGATTACACAATTATTATCAAGTATAGGCCAATTATATACAAAATGATATGCAAGAATATAAGTTATGTAATATACTGTACCAGCTATGTACAAAAAACATTTATATACAAGTATATACAATTTAATGATTTTACTGATTCAACACAGGACATTGCCAAAACTCCTTATAATATACTGGACAAATCGTGACAGCATAACTTGATTGTATAATACACATATATACCAGTTACACATGTATGTAAATATATATTAACTGAGCCTATAGGTAAGCCTCATTAGCATTTCTTATAAAAAACCTGTTTCTCTGGATTTGCAGAGACTTGCACTTGAATCCATCACTGTTCCTGAATATGTTCACAAAATATCCTGTAAGTATAATTTTCGTTTAAATAACATTTTGTATTTCAATATATATGTAATTTTGCAATTCATGATTATCTCCAATATGTATGTTGTTAACTCATTCCCCCCTACCTATCTGAACTGGACCTGCCCTGTCTTTGATTTGGTATGGTTTAAATGTGACTTTAGGGGTGAATGGGTTAAGGTTGTCCAGTTTACACCTTCAAATCAGCTTCAACTATTTGAAATGTAACAGGCCATTAAAAATATCAACAGCTATATGTTGTGTGTATGAAGTGTATAATGTTTAAAATCTCTCATTATCTCTGATATTGTGTGTATGAAGTGTAGTATGTATAAATCTGTCCTAGGTACTGTTCTGGGATGTGACTAGCTCTATGATAGTGTGTATGAAGTGTATTATGTATAAATCTGTCATAGGTCCTCCTGTTCTGGGATGTGGCTAGCTCTATGATATTGTGTGTATCAAGTGTATTATGTATAAATCTGTCCTAGGTCCTCCTGGTCTGGGATGTGGCTAGCTCTATGATATTGTGTGTATGAAGTGTTTTATGTATAACTCTGTCCTAGGTCCTGTTCTGGGATGTGACTAGCTCTATGATATTGTGTGTATGAAATGTATTATGTATAAATCTTTCCTAAGTCCTGTTCTGGGCTGTGACTAGCTCTATGATACTGTGTGTATGAAGTGTATTATGTATAAATCTGTCCCAGGTCCTGTTCTGGGCTGTGACTAGCTCTATGATATTATGTGTATGAAGTGTAGTATGTATAAATGTGTCCTAGGTCCTGTTCTGGGATGTGACTAGCTATATGATAGTGTGTGTATGAAGTGTATTATGTATAAAACTGACCTAGGTCCTGTTCTGGGCTGTGACTAGCTCTATGATATTATGTGTATGAAGTGTAGTATGTATAAATGTGTCCTAGGTCCTGTTCTGGGATGTGACTAGCTCTATGATATTGTGTGAATGAAGTGTAGTATGTATAAATCTGTCCTAGGTCCTGTTCTGAGCTGTGACTAGCTCTATGATATTGTGTGTATGAAGTGTTTTATGTATAACTCTGTCCTAGGTCCTGTTCTGGGATGTGACTAGCTCTCTGATAGTGTGTGTATGAAGAGTATAATGTATAACTCTGTCCTAGGTCCTGTTCTGGGATGTGACTAGCTATATGATAGTGTGTGTATGAAGTGTATTATGTATAAATCTTTCCTAGGTCCTGTTCTGGGCTGTGACTAGCTCTATGATACTGTGTGTATGAAGTGTATTATGTATAAATCTGGCCTAGGTCCTGTTCTGGGATGTGACTAGCTCTATGATATTGTGTGTATGAAGTGAATAATGTATAAATCTGTCCTAGGTCCTGTTCTGGGCTGTGACTAGCTCTATGATATTGTGTGTATGAAGTGAATAATGTATAAATCTGTCCTAGGTCCTGTTCTGGGATGTGGCTAGCTCTATGATATTGCGTGTATGAAGTGTATTATGTATAAATCTGTCCTAGGTCCTGATCTGGGATGTGACTAGCTCTATGATATTGTGTGTATGAAGTGAATAATGTATAAATCTGTCCTAGGTCCTGTTCTGGGATGTGGCTAGCTCTATGATATTGCGTGTATGAAGTGTATTATGTATAAATCTGTCATAGGTCCTCCTGTTCTGGGATGTGGCTAGCTCTATGATATTGCGTGTATGAAGTGTATTATGTATAAATCTGTCATAGGTCCTCCTGTTCTGGGATGTGGCTAGCTCTATGATATTGCGTGTATGAAGTGTATTATGTATAAATCTGTCATAGGTCCTCCTGTTCTGGGATGTGGCTAGCTCTATGATATTGCGTGTATGAAGTGTATTATGTATAAATCTGTCATAGGTCCTCCTGTTCTGGGATGTGGCTAGCTCTATGATATTGTGTGTATGAAGTGTATAATGTAATAATCTCCTAGGTCCTGTTCTGGGATGTGACTAGCTATATGATAGTGTGTGTATGAAGTGTATTATGTATAAATCTTTCCTAGGTCCTGTTCTGGGCTGTGACTAGCTCTATGATATTGTGTGTATGAAATGTATTATGTATAAATCTGTCCTAGGTCCTGATCTGGGATGTGACTAGCTCTATGATATTGTGTGAATGAAGTGTAGTATGTATAAATCTGTCCTAGGTCCTGGTCTTGGATGTGACTAGCTCTATGATATTGTGTGTATGAAGTGTAGTATGTATAGATCTGTCCTAGGTCCTGTTCTTGGATGTGACTAGCTCTATGAGATTGTGTGTATGAAGTGTATTATGTATAAATCTTTCCTAGGTCCTGTTCTGGGCTGTGACTAGCTCTATGATACTGTGTGTATGAAGTGTATTATGTATAAATCTGGCCTAGGTCCTGTTCTGGGATGTGACTAGCTCTATGATATTGTGTGAATGAAGTGTAGTATGTATAAATCTGTCCTAGGTACTGTTCTGGGATGTGACTAGCTCTATGATAGTCTATGAAGTGTAGTTTGTATAAATCTGTCCTAGGTCCTGTTCTGGGATGTGGCTAGCTCTATGATATTGCGTGTATGAAGTGTATTATGTATAAATCTGTCCCAGGTCCTGTTCTGGGCTGTGACTAGCTCTATGATATTATGTGTATGAAGTGTAGTATGTATAAATGTGTCCTAGGTCCTGTTCTGGGATGTGACTAGCTATATGATAGTGTGTGTATGAAGTGTATTATGTATAAATCTGGCCTAGGTCCTGTTCTGGGCTGTGACTAGCTCTATGATATTGTGTGTATGAAGTGTATTATGTATAAATCTGTCCTAGGTCCTCCTGTTCTGGGATGTGGCTAGCTCTATGATATTGTGTGTATGAAGTGTATTATGTATAAATCTGTCCTAGGTCCTGTTCTGGGATGTGACTAGCTCTCTGGTAAAGGTTTATCAGGACAACAGCATCAAAGTTTACAATAAGGTTGGTTGAAGATTTTTTTTATCAATTCAGTTTTCATATTTTTGTAATTACCAAAATTTACAACAACCATACATTTCATAATTGTTGTAAAACATTTCATTAACATACATTTGAACAATAATGGTAGGAATAGTTGTACAGTATTATACGTCTAAGGTGTGGTAACTAGCTATATCATATTTTCAGACGCAGGCCAGTGCAATGTTGGCGAATATGCTGAATAAAGATGTGGTAAGTAGTTAGCTCACCTGACTGAAGGAAAAGTGTACTCGCGCCATGGCATCCATCTGTCTGCCCGTTAAACGTTTCTTTTCCACATAACTTTTCTAGACGTGATAAGATTTCAATGACGCTTGGTCAGCAGATGTTTATAAGGAAGATGGAGGCTTAACCCTTTCACCCATATGTAGCTTTAGTAGACTGTACCAAGCATTGATCTGGACAAGTCCATTATGGTCTACAGTGGTGCAAGGGTTAACTTGATGATAAGCGGAATTTAGGTATATTTGATTTGTGTACTGCAAACTGATTAGTAAGTGCTTTCTACATCACAATTTCAATATATATATAACTGTTAAACTTGGTCAACACTTTCAAAATACGGGTAGGAAGATGGGTGCCAAGTTTAATGATGGCAAGCACAAATGACGTTTTGGTTACTTGTTGCACATGTACAAAGTGGATGTCAAAGTTCAAGGTCAAACTGCTATATCAGCACTTGTTACATTCTGATATGAACCTTTTGCAGTTTGTATGTCTTTGTTTGGGGGTCTCTGTAATGCTTGACTTATAACTAGCAGTTGTTCACCGCTAGACCTATGTTATTATGACAGCTTATGGGCGTATCGTACATCATTGTGCTGTTGTTTAACTTTTTTTTTAGTACTCAGTTTTTGCTCAAGATTATGCCTATCATATGGTTGTTTGGCAGAAAGCTTCAAAACATTTCTTGATACAGTAGTAAATTATGACTTTTACAATATTTAATTTATATATATGAGGTTTCATTAGAAAAGTTAGTGTATGAGTATATGTGCAATTGTTATTGAGTATACATTTTAACTATATAATTATATACAATTCTTGATTTTCATGTCTGAACTGTTCATGTCTTAACTTAATAACTAGATTGTGTTTGATCATTGGCCAAAGTAAAGAGGGATAATTGACTTGTATTTCTGATTCAGATTGACAAAGGTAAAAACTTGAAGGATAAGTGCCTTTTTGTTTCTGATTCAGGTGGAGAAGATAGGTGAGGACGTTTGGACGACGTTTGCTACATCAACGTTTGCCACACTTACAGAGGTAGGTCTTATGTTTCTCTAATGGAAACTTTTATTCTTTTGATCAATTTGTTAAAGTTTTGACATTATAATCTGATATTATTTTGACATTCCATGTTAATGGTTATCTGATAGTAGCTCAGAGATATGTTAACGTTTTGATTTTCGCCAAACTTAGTTAATTATTATTTAGAAACCAAGTACAAAGGTCAGAGATCTGTTAATATTTAATGATAAAATGAGAAATGGCTCAATATTCTGATTTAATAGCTTTTAAACCATTTAAAGCATATGACATTAATTCTACAAATTTCCTTGGTTTGAAGTTAAGTACTGAATTGTTATCTAGAATATTCATTGGTGTAGATAAGGCTCCTTCATCATAAACAGACAAACATGTTTACACTGTGATAAGTCATCAATGTAAACCGATAAACCTTTTGACATGGACTGTTTCACCTCAAATATAGAAACAAATTTTGATACTATTTTCCATTATCTATAAGTGTAATATTCTGCTGTGTTTCTCTAGGTCATATGTAATACAACAAAGGAGAACTACTTCGCCAAGCTGATGCACAACATGCTACAAATCCTCAGCAAGATCTCCTCGCTGTCAGGCACAGCTCAGGTCAGTATACAGGTGTCGTACCTGGCAACAGGAATCCCCCCCCCCCCCCCCCCCCCCCTGCCAGAAAACCCCACAAAAAAACAGTAGCATCCGCTGGCCAACAAGTTTCCCCTAAATATTCATTTATATCTAGGAAAGGGGTAGGTGTGGATGATGGAGAAGAGAATAAGATAGCTGATTTCTTCTAACAGGGTAAAAATGAAAGAGCGAGGGGGGAACTCAATATAGGAAAAGAATACCTGTACACTGGGTTGTGTACTGGGTGTAGATGTATTTCTGTGTACAAAGTTGTGTCCTGAATATATAACCTGCTGTAGACAGGATTGTGTGTTGTTTGTATACTAAGTGTTTGTTTTACTGTTTCAGGGCTGTATGTTGTCTGCAGAAGCCCAGACAAGGTTGACTGATCTACTTCCACGATGCAGCAAAGAGAATCGTCGCCTTGCCCGTGCATTGCTGAAGAAGGCTAATCCAGAGTTTGAAGTGGATAGCCGGTATGTTTGTTATATAAACATGTTTCTATCTAAGACTGTTTTATTCTCTTTAGTCCCCTATCTAAATAAACCCAAGGATGTTATATAACTAACTAATCATCCAGTTAAGATAAAGTTGTGAATTTAAACAATCTATTAAGTTAACCATAATTTTGAACAGTCTCCAAAAGGAACCCTACCTTTTTTGACAAATTCCATAGAATATTACTCATAAAAAATGTTTGGCCTCCTGTCCTTTTTGCAGTCTCATTGAGGAAAAAATTGTGAAAATTCTGATGTCTTTTATTTCGATTGACTGCATCTTTGTGACTGGATGTAGTCATTTAAAACAGGACATTAGGTGCTAAAAAATTATTTCCTCAGTGAGACTGAATAAGGGCAGGAGTCGAAAATTTCTATAAGTAGTTTTCCAAAGTATTTGTAAGATATGTTTTCAAATATAATGTTATTTTGCAAACATTTTTAAAACTCTTTGCAAATTGTATGAATTTGATTTATTAATTCAACATAACAAATGTGTCCGTGTCAAGGGTATTCCATGGAATACGTGGGACCTAGAGTAACAATATCTGGCTTCACCATGTTCACTTTGATAATGATTCAAGTTACCCACGTTGGACTAGTTTACTGCGTATAAATTGGTAGCAAGTGATTTGTCTTTCCTATAACAATGTTTTCCTTGGAGATTTACCAAAGTTGTACGAGGAGAGTCTCGTCGTACATATGACCCCATCCTCGATACTCCAGGGGTTACGCTCACTTTCGCTCTCTGCACCCCTGGAATATGTCATAGCAAAATTGAGGCACATGGCTAGCTATTTGATTGGTCTCGGGTAGACACCTGTCCTTTGTGACACCTGTCCTTTGTGACACCTGTCCTTTGAAGATTACAGAGGAGCAACACCCAAATTCAACGCCAGTCAATTGTACCGTTACGCAACCGACAGATTCTTTTGATGTACACGAGAGGATCAAATTAGACTTCTTGTCTCATCAACAAGGTGGTACACACTGAGCCTTCGATTTTGCTATGACACATTCCAGTGGTGTAGAATGTAGGAGAGTGTAGGAGGAAGAGTATTGAGAATGATATGACCCATGCTGTTGCGAGAATGTTAAACTCCAAATAAAGAAATACCCGGTATGGGTATGCAGCATGAGCCTAGATGATCCTGTTCCAAGTCTTTTAAAGAACAAGAGTACCGCGGGGCGGAACAATATACACCCGTCGAATGCCATATAGTGTTATTGTTAATGAAATGAACAAAGGGCAATAACTTTTGGAACAATTATCAAATCAAAATTCTGTTAAGGGGGACACAACTTGATATCATGATTATAATGTATACCAAGTTTCAAAGAAATCCGTCAAAAAATGTAGGAGGAGATCTCTGTACAAAAAATAAAATACTGAAATGAACAAAGGGCAATTACTTTTGGAACAATTATCAAATCAAAATTCTGTTAAGGGGGACACAACTTGATATCATGATTATAATGTATACCAAGTTTCAAAGAGATCGGTCGAAAAATGTAGGAGGAGATTGCCAGACAAACTAAAGTTTACACTGAACGAACGAACAACCCCATACCATAATACTCCTGTCAAAATTTGACGGGCGTATAAAAAGGCCAATCTATCACCTAAATCACTGGTTAGATAGTGGGGTATTAGTGGAGTAGTGATGGCAGGATTAAAGGGGCTTAACTCATTGCTGTAGCTGTATGATACAATTTTGATCAATTACAACATTTTGCAGAATTTATCAAAAATATGTCTTACAAGTGCCAAACTATTGCATAACCAACTGGGATGTATTTAACAGGAGAGGATCAAAAGTTTATAATGGAATATGTTTGTGTTTTGTGTGCAGTGAAAAGAATGAGGGAAAGAAACAGAAGAAGAGAAAAATGAAGGAAAATAATGAAAGTTCACCAGAAAAGATGAAGAAACCAAATGACAGTGAATTAAAAGAAGAAAATGGAAATTCACCAAAACTAAATGAACTGAAAGAGTTAAATGGAAACTCACCTAAAAAGGTGAAGAAACCTAAGAAGACGAAAACAAAAGGAGAGGATGGAAAATCACTGAAAAAGTCCAAAACGATGGATGTATCAAGCTGATGTGAGAACCTTGAATTAGTCCGACATTAGAACAGATGTAGTGGCAGCCTCAGGTTGTGACCTGGTGTTAATTTGTAACATGACACAAATGTATTCAAGGGCTGAAGACATGCTCTTGTGAGAATTGATTGTAAAATAGATGTATGCAAGGGCTGAAGACATGCTCTTGTGAGAATTGATTGTAAAATAAATGTATGCAAGGGCTGAAGACACGCTCCCGTGAGAATTGGTTGTAAAATAAATGTATGCAAGGGCTGAAGACATGCTCTTGTGAGAATTAAAGGGCCAAGGGGAGGGTATACTCATGTGCAGATTGAACTGTAAATCAAATACATTAAAGACTGAGGTCATGACCTTATCAGACACCTATTGATTGACAAGGTTAATATTTACTTTTCAGTAGATTTTAACTAAAGGGTCGATGTCACTCTAGATTGTATATTTGAGATACTGTGTAGCATCATCTACACAGTAAATTATAAATAGGAAAGAAAGAGAAGATAACACACTTTTTAGGGGTTGTTCAGTTTCTCAGTCTTTGAGATATCTTTAAGGGGCACTGTGGGCACTGGTTTCCCACTAGATTATAATCTGTGAAAGGATCATGTGTGGCATCACAGTAGGTATAAGTTTTTACGGGAATGTGAGGCTTCACACTTGATTTTAAACTTTTTAGAAACTGTGCATTGTCTCCGTTAATTATATATTTGAGAGGATGTTGGGTTTCATGGTAGATTATGATGTTTGAGAGGAGTTGTAGCTGATACCGATGTAACAACAAACTTATCCTAGAACCATAATGTGTTTGTGTATGGTTTGTTGTACAATGTACTGTTTTATTGTTACGTTGTGATTACACAGACAGATGTGTACATTGAAGTAATAAAACTTATATATTACAAAGTTTATTCATTTGTTTGTACTAGTGGTTAGTAAAGCAGACATTATCTTTCCCTGAAAAATCAATCCTTAAAAGTTTATATAATGACAACCAAAATGTTTCTGCTCTCTGTAAGTATTATAAATACAATTATCACTGGTAGGGGAAATTTATCTTACCGTAATACAAACATCTTATTACGGACTTTATCTCATCATTTTGAATGAAAAAAATAAGAATTCAGTGTCTAAAATAATGAAAATATTTAGGTTATGTTTCATTTGAAGACTGCTACCAGGTCTTTTTAGGAGTTTGTGATATCTTGAAGAAAAAGAACTTAGAGATGAAATTAACTTTGTATCAAAAGGACCTTGTATTAAGATATTAATTTCTGTTATATAATTAAAAAGGTTTAACTCGTTAAAGTATGAACCATGTGGTGTGATATTGAGTAAAGTCTAAAATAACAAAAAAAGTGAAATGTATAAAGGAAATTATTCATTTGTGCACCAATAAGACTATAAATATAAAGATAAATAAAAAGGAAGATGTATAGAACTCTAGATTACCAAAGCCTTTCAGACAGGTTCATGACCTTAGATGTACAGAGATAAAACCTTAGCTCTTAGGAATGTGTATAGCTGTCTTGATCAGCGGTTGTAATGTTTGTTAATATGTAAAATACAGGTGTAACTCGAGGCCCAATGGACCTGTATCGCTCATTCTAGTATTATCTCATGCAATAACAAAGATCACTACATCTAAATGGATTAAATCAAACTTCAGGCTAAATACCATTACCTACGACACTTGGTTATTCAGAAGAACCAGTTTAAAGATTTTAACACATTTGACCCTGTGACCTTGATTGTCGAATAAGGAAACTAATTTGAACAAACTTCATAGACCTTCAAACCAGCTTACTGATGGCTAAATATCATCAGCACTATGCCTTTTGGTATTCAGATTCATTTGAGCAAACTTGGAAGCCATCTATCTGAGCATGTGATATTAGCCAATATGACCTGCGACCTTGAAAGTTGGTTTAAAGGTAAATCATTAGAACAAACTTGGTAGTCCTTCATCCCAGCATGCAACTAGTAACATATAATTACCCGTGGTCTTTTGATTATTGAGAAGATGCTTAAATATTTTTGACACCTATGATCCCTTTGACATTGAAAATGGACTAGGTAATTCTTTTGAACAGATTTGATAGCCTTCATCCAAGCCTAATACTGGCCAATTGTCCCAAGTTCAAGGTGATTTGTTTGAACAAACTTAGCAGCCATTCATCCCACTGTCTAAATATCATTGTGATGGGCCTTCTGGTTATTGAGAAGTTGTTTTTGAACATTTGACCTGTGTGACCTTGAAAATGGGTTCTCTGAACATGGAGAAACAAGTGAACGCTATTGCCAAATCCTGTTACTACCAGATAAGGAACAACGGCTGTATTCGGCAGTTTCTAACTGCAGATGCATGCAAGATTTTGGTGCATTCACTTGTTACCTCTTGATTGGATTATGGGAACACCCTGCTCTGTGGTATATCTGACAAACTAACTAGTCGTCTGCAGAGGGTCCAGAACACTGCAGCACGGCTAGTTTCTCGTACTCGAAAGAGAGAACTCACCTCTTCACGTCTGCATTTTAGAATCTTTGCAAAGACGTCATGTAAATACCACCCTTTTATTTGTTCAATTATGTGCACAAGCAGTGATTGCAAGCCTTTGTTGTTTGTTTTCACAATTATAACCATTACTATTATCCATATGTTGTAAAGCGCCTTAGAGTAATTTTACAAATTATATAGGGCGCTATATAAATGTTGTATATTATTATTTATTATTATTCATTTGACATTTGAACAAACTTGGTAGGCCTCCCTCAGCATGCTACTCCTATGTATCAACTTAGGTGTTTGGTTATTGAGAAGAAGTTGATTGAATGGGAAAATGGACATGTCGGAGGCCGAACACCACACTATGGCATAAGCTCATTGGCATTTCATGTTATGTGAGCTAAAAAAAAACACTGAATGTAACAATCTTGATAAGAGGCACTGAAGTTTGTAATTGAAGTTACGTAGATATAATGGTTAAAAACAGAAAACAAGAACAATACAATGTATTAAAAAGGTGACTTTTATTATTCAAAATAGGAATATGAAGTCTAATCCCCCTAGACTATATTGGGGACAATATATGAAAATTGTGATTTTCTTCTGAGAGACAAGCATGAACATGATAATTTACTTGATAAAAATATCCTCAGGACTTAAGTAAACATGACAAAAATTAATGAATTGGATTTGTTAAAAATACAAATTAACCGGTAAAAGAGTAAACTATTTGATTTGAAAATACAATGAACTTTGTGTAACTCCAAAGCACCACACTTCAAGACATTATATAAAAGAAGTTCAAGTAGAATGATAAGTGATGATGTTAAATGATAATTCAGAGATATACAGTTCAGGGTTGGCTTGCTTCAGAACTTCCAATATGTTAATACTTTTACACACTTCTAATTTTCATATTTTTTGTTTTAAATGTATTAATGAAAAGCACTCTTTTAAGGTTTAAGAGACAAGCACATTTCATCTATCTGATTAAAGCAATACCTCAGATTTTAACGATACTCAACAGTAATGTTTCTCCTTAAAACATCATGTATGGCGGTGGAGTTTATTATCTTGTTTTAATGACATAGACTGACAAAACATTAAACTATAACTGATAAAACATTAAACTATAACTGATGACGGCAAGAAAATTCAAATATGAAACTTTATCATTTTCCAGTTATAATGTCCGACAGATAAAGTGTCATGCATTCAGCTTTATTGTGCATTTTTTATGCATTCAGCTTGCACCTCATAGAAATTCTGTAAAGAAAAATACAAGAAATGTCAACTTTTGTCCTGCATACCAGTGTATCAAGATCCGTTATTACAAAATTTAAATTGGTATTGCTTCAGATACCTGTGGCAAGATATATCATTTGTGTTCTAAGATAAATGATTTTGAATTTTTTAACAGTTACTAGTAAGAGACAAATATAGACATAACTTGATACTTCCAAGACATTTCCACTTCAATATTTACAGTCTACACTCAGGAAAATATATCTTTACAACTACAGTGTACTTCAAATGTAATTTTACAATGATCACGTTTTTAATAAAATTTGTCGATATTTAAAAATACAGATGAATAAATGAAACATTTTTCTTGTACCTGTCTGAAAACCCATTTTTGTTTTCACGTACCATATAATAAACACTGAAATTGACAAATTATTCTTGTTTTATTTTGTGAACCGGTAATGAGATGATGACAAGTTGAGCTCGAAGACGTTTTTCACAGATGATTCCAACAGCTTCTAACAGCTGACGTCATCACCTCACAACCTGAATAGACGACCATGACTTACGAAGCGAGTCTAAATAAAATCATTCATTAACATAATATCTTTGGAAAAAAAAAAGAAAAAAAAAATACTTCGTTTCTTCATCAGAAAAAGGAAAATTGAAAGACATTCACACACTATCGTTAACAGCTAGGCTAAATACTCCCATCTAAACTTGATGGAAGGAAGATGAAATAGATCAACATTTAAATCCATTACTTTGTACATTCACAGCCACAGAATGCTGCTATGTGGGACACGTTTAGGCTTCACACATCTAGTTTATCAATACTAGCACATCTTAGGCAGTGTTATCATTAGGAATGAACGGGTGATTATTGATATGATTGTTAGTTTTATTTCCTATGCTAAACCGTGAATGATGAAACTTTTACAACTACGTGACCACATCTCTCGTGATTTTATAGTTATGATGTACATAGTATCTTTACACCGAGACTTTACAACTCCTGGGTGACACAACTCTCGTGATTATATAGTTATGATGTACATAGTATCTTTACACCGAGACGTTACAACTCCTGCGTGACACATCTCTCGTGATTATATAGTTATGATGTACATAGTATCTTTACACCGAGACGTTACAACTCCTGCGTGATCTCTTCTCTCGTGATAATACAATTATATATGGAATATCTTCACACCGTCTTCTTGCATACAGATTAATTATGATCAGTATAGTTGATATCCACTTATAATAAAGATAAAATTCTTATATTCCTTACCCCCATTATGACTAGGTCGTAATTCCAGCTGGAATGAGCAGTTAAATATTTAATTCTTGGAACATGCTTTATATACGAAAATATATAACTTATATTTTATCTTAATAACAATTTTTATATATTTATCCTAATGATATAATATCTGTCATGGGAATCAATGCGTAGTACCTGTTAATCACTCCGATACTTTTATTTCATAATACATGAGCACTCTTTCACATAACTATATTATATATATACAGAATCTATAGAATAGTCCTTATAATTTGACAAACAAATCAATCACTATGATAAAACCATTAACACCTCCGACCAATTTAGACTTGCCTAAATAAAAAGGCAAGTTATTCCACTATACACATAAAGGGAGAGTAGGGTTGTTCATGTGTACCCCCATTACACCAATGGAATGGTCTAGATCCATGTGTATGAGTGACTTGGGACAACGGAATACCAAGTAAGGATTTCCTAGTGATGTACATGGACAGTTTACTGTAATGAGATGTAGGGTATATCACTATACTATTCTGATATGTTGCATATTCCTTCAAGTTAATGCTATTTGGTTTCATATTGGAATTATTACAAAACCAAGGCCGCATTGGTTAAACGCGATCCAAACGATTTGACTGGTTGGACCAGTTTTTCATTCATGAAATAAGGCCGGACCTAGTAATCTGATGCTGCTTTCTGGCGAGCCCTTGCAAGGCCTGTATTAATATTTGCAGGCCTGCCAGGATGTATACCCGAAAATATTACATTTAAAAACAGACAAATTACCGGTTGAACCGGATATGAGAAAGGGACCCTTGTCTGTTTAGGGAAAAGTCACTGCGCTTTGTTTACTTTATTCGTAAGAAGTCACATTATGACGTGATTAGCATTGTAAGTGTATGTGACTATTAGGCTTTAAATACATAAAGGAGAGAAGTTATTCAAGCCCAACAGAGAGACGAGACATATCTTAGTCTTCATGCTGAATGTTATTTAGATGTTGATTTAACAAAGAGACGAGATATATCTAAGTCTTCATGATGAATGTTATTTAGATGTTGATTTAACAAAGAGACGAGACATATCTAAGTCTTCATGATGAATGTTATTTAGATGGCGATTTAACAAAGAGACGAGACATATCTAAGTCTTCATGCTGAATGTTATTTAGATGGCGATTTAACAAAGAGACGAGACATATCTTAGTCTTCATGATGAATGTTATTTAGATGTTGATTTAACAAAGAGACGAGAAATATCTAAGTCTCCATGCTGAATGTAGTTTAGATGGAGATTTTCGGACAGATGTATTATAGAAATGGAAACATATATGATTTGATAGGATTCAAATAGAATTTCTGTTAACATTAATGAGCTGAATTATTGCTATATAAAAAGTATATCGTGTTACTATTTACAATATTTTACCTAGCTTCCTTAAATATATTTCTATCATCCTACATTTTACAAAACACACGTAATTACACAAAATATCAAATAATGTCACACTTTGTTTAAATTGTTAACTTTTTACAAAAATTCTGAGCCATTTCCCCGGTAGACAGGTTGACGTTTGTAGTTATGACACATTGGAAATCTTTTGTACTAGTAACAACAAATCTGCGAAATACTGTGTAAAAATATCAATCCCACAGCCTGGCGGAATCTCCAGTAACAGATGGCTATATCTTTGACCGTGATAAACCTGTTTTTAGAGGTGTTTGACCTCTTCACCTTAGTGATTTCAACATTATACACAGGTTGATGGAGCCAGTTAGCAATACAAACAGATCACACATTCCACGTAATTATACTCTTTAAGAGAGTTTCAAACAAATCTAAGTTGGTCCACAAACAAGTCATAAAATGTAAAGATCTGTTTGTGCACAGTGATTATCTGTTTGGAACAAAATGAAAAAAACCGTGAAACATGACATAGACATGTACAATCAATTAATATGATAAAAATAATTCATCTCTTTACATTTTGCATATACTTTCTTAATCATCTGATATGTTGAAATGTGTTACAAAAATCCATGTAACAAATATACAAGTTCCTGATACACAGAAAACCACCTGGTATTTTCAATAATTCTGTATATATATCAACATCGTTAGCTTGTATGGGGACTTGTGATATTGGGATATAAATTCATCTTCTAAAATGTTGCACCCTTTTAGGCAGGAAGATAAATATTTTTAGGACACATCCCACGATCTCTTGCAACAAAAAGTCATTGATGAATCATAAAGGAAACTTCGTTCTCATGATACCATCAGATTGGCATGTAAGCATGGTACAACACATCTGCCATGATCAACTCCCAAGGATTTTGTCTTAACATACTCGAGGTTGTGGCAAGGATTTTGTCCTGGTATACTCCAGAGGGTCAAGAAGACTTTGTCGTAAATACTCGAGATAGTCAAAGGGATTTTGTCCTTATATACTCCAGAGGGCCACAAAGACTTTGTCGTAAATACTCGAGTTTGTCACAGGGTTTTTGTCCTAATATGCTCAAGAGACGAAATATCTTCTTTACCACGCGTTTGTCAGGATAATATGAAAGCGAGGGTCAGGAAGACTTTGTCGTAAATGCTTGAGATAGTCACAGGGACTTTTCCTAATATAATCAAGATGGTATACACATACGGAGGAATCATCATGGGTAACTGTGAAATGGATAAAAGAATTCTTCAGTTATTTCATTGGCCGTTGAAAACAAGAGCTTAACTTCTTTTTAATAGCTGTTTTTGTCACAAAAGGTGTAAATCCGAGCGAAGCAGCTTATTAAACCTCGTAGTCCTTTCTGTATTTTATCCACCTCCTAATTTCTAAGCAACCCAATATGTGTATCCAGTGTGATATTGAGCTTATTCTGAGTCCTCATACTGGTTGTACATATCAGCCAGCTTGGCAAACTTTGGGCCCCAGCTGTTGAGGTAATCGTAGTCCTGGTCGCCGCCACTTGAAGATGTGTTGAGAGAACTTAGAGAGCCTGCAGAGCTACCAGCTCCTTCATAGTTCAGTTCCATTACTGTGTCATATGGAGGAGCACCTGGATCCTCATCAGCGTCACCTAGGCGATCACCAATAAACTCTCCAATACCGGGACCTTGTGGAGGACCAGCTGTAAGAAGAAAATATATATTTAAGACATCTTGTTATATAATTATATTTTTATTTACAAAATAGGCTTATACAACTCTGAAACAAGAGCAGGGGAGAAATGTCTGTTCTTTATTTCACTATCCAAAGAAATAAACCATATACATGCACCCCAATACATTATAAAATATATGATTGTATCAGGATTAATTGCCCCTCTTTGCCTGTATTTGAAAAATTCAAAACTTCATTTCTACATAGAAATGAACTCTCTTTGTCCATGTTCAAGTCATAATTTACAAGTAAAACTAAAAGAACTCTTGAGTGATAAAGAAAAATGGACGGATTTAGCTCAAATTTAGACTTGGATTTTGGTTTTGGTATAGTATAAATATTGAACAAATTTCATTAGAATTCAGTGATATTTATAGCTAATTATGTACAGATTTCCTCCTCTTTGAACAAATTAGCTTTAACAGTTTTGTAGTATACATGCCAACCCAATTAACATTCCACACCATAAGGCATTCATCAACATTTTTTGAGGTTTAAATTCTTTTTATAAAGTGTAAGGTAGCAGATAACCCAATTAATTTAATTATTATCAGCAGATGTTTACAATTATTAATGTTATCAGAAGATGTTTACAATCATTAATGTTATCAGTAGATGTTTACAATTTTTAATGGTATCAGTAGATGTTTACAATTATTAATGTTATCAGTAGATGTTTACAATTATTAATGTTATCAGAAGATGTTTACAATTATAAATGTTATCAGAAGATGTTTACAATTATAAATGTTATCAGTTGATGTTTACAATTATTAATGTTATCAGTAGATGTTTATAATTATTAATGTTATCAGTAGATGTTTACAATTATTAATGTTATCAGTAGATGTTTACAATTATTAATGTTATCAGAAGATGTTTACAATTATAAATGTTATCAGTTGATGTTTACAATTATTAATGTTATCAGTAGATGTTTATAATTATTAATGTTATCAGTAGATGTTTATAATTTTTAATGGTATCAGTAGATGTTTACAATTTTTAATGGTATCAGTAGATGTTAACAATTATTAATGTTATCAGTAAATGTTTACAATTATTAATGTTATCAGTAGATGTTTACATTTATTAATGTTATCAGTTGATGTTTACAATTATTAATATTATCAGTTGATGTTTACAATTATCAATGTTATCAGTAGATGTTTAAAATGATTAATGTTATCAGTAGATGTTAATAATTATTAATATTATCAGTAGATGTTTACATTTATTAATGTTATCAGCAGATGTTTACAATTATTAATGTTACCAGAAGATGTTTACAATTATTAATGTTATCAGTAGATGTTTATAATTATTAATGTTATCAGTTGATGTTTACATTTATTAATGTTACCAGTAGATGTTTACAATTATTAATGTTATCAGTTGATGTGTACAATTATTTATGTTATCAGTAGATGTTTACAATTATTAATGTTAGCAGTAGATGTTTATAATTATTAATGTTATCAGTAGATGTTTACAATTATTAATAGTTCATTATCTTGAATAATTTCTGCTGCGTTAAATGTTTTTTTAACGCCTCTACATGAATGAAGTGTTGACAGGCTCTGGTGTTGATGTTGAGTACTTACATTTCACTGGTCTCTCATTCTCCATGTTCATGAGTGGTTTATCTACTTTGGACATGTCCATGGGCTTGCGAAGTCTGTTGAGGTCGTATCCCTCATGGTCTTCTTCACCTGGTACCGAAACATACATTCATTATTTTCATCAATGTTTATTGTCAGCAGATTCATTGTCATCAGATTACCAACTTAGGGGCAGTGATCATTCATGTCTGAATGTTTTAGTTTTATATGGAAAATACAAATCAGTGCAGTGTTAAATTTGTTCTATTGAGAATGCAAGGTATTTCAGTATCATGGCAGGAGATAACATTCTCCCCAATGTCCTTTAGACTTACTTGTACATTCCTTGTTATAAGACATGATTTTACCCAATCAGACTTACCTGTATGTCCCTCGTTATAAGACATGATATTACCCAATGTCCCTCAGACTTACCTGTATGTCCCTCGTAATAAGACATGATATTACCCAATGTCCCACAGACTTAACTGTATGTCCCTCGTAATAAGACATGATATTACCCAATGTCCCTCAGACTTACCTGCACCTTCCTCGTCATAAGCCACAATGTTCTCCCTGATGTCGTAATCCTCTTTCTCGTCCTCCACCAGATTAGCCATGTCATCATTGTTGACACAACGCCTGTACAGCAGTACCACAAGAAACGCGATGATCAGAACTGAAAAAAGAAAATCATTTTGTTATGAAAGCAAGTTGTATGAGAAGCCTCTGGTAACAGCTCACTTGGATCAAGGTCATTCATCTGTACAAACATGATAACACACTAGAAGGCTATATGTGAAATATCATTACTACGCCTCTGTTCAGTTTCCGTAAAGATTTTGTGATGTCTTTGAACACGTTGGCACCTGTGACCTTCAAATCAGGTTTATATCATGTACTGACTTGAACAGTGTTGATATTGTTTTATCCTTGTAAGTGACAGGACAAATGTAACAAATCCAGGCCTAACAGTTCTGTAGAAGTAATTTAAAATCTTAACTCATTTGAAAATGAGATCGCAAAAGTGGATCAAGGTTATTTATTTTTACAGTTTTCCTAGCTCTACACCACAGGTAAGATATTCTGAATCTTGAACTTAAAAGTTCTATTTTATAAAAAGATATAAAGAAAAATGTTGATGAAGGGGTCATGTCAGGTTAGCTGAACATTACTTATGACAGAATAGATGAATAAAAGTACTATGATTAAAATACTGGTAATACTGGGGGTTTTCTTTGAAAATTTTCTGAATAACTCTTACCAAGAACCACAGCAATTATGATACCAGCAATAACTCCAGCCCCGATACCGCCAGCTGGTACCACCTCAACAACGGCAAGCTGGTTACATCGCTTGCCCTTCCAACCCTCAGGACAGTTGCAGATGTAGGTACCATTGCCATTTTGACAGGTGGCAGAGCCGAGACACGGATTGTCTCGACAGTAGTTGATATCTACACACGCACTGTTCACCTCCTCCTTCCCGACAGGACATCTGTAACACACGGATCATAGACATCTCACAAAAAACAGCTATATCCATTCTTCTATTTTACATTAATTTATATAAAAACGAATAGCTTTACTAATCTCAAATGTTATTAACCCTTTCACCATTGTAGACCATAATGAACTCACCCAGATTAATATATAGTAGAATCTACTTAAGTTACCTAGGGGTGAAAGGGTTAAAGGATCCTTGTCCTGCACTGTGTGTTTTTTTCAATATACAGTTACCTCCCCTTTTTTCCTGTTTGGATACAACAGTATCACAGTTGGGCCAGGACACTTCTGCTGACCACCGGTTTAATTGGTTAGAGTGATAGTACAATCTGGAGTCTATTGTTTGAATCCTATTCTAACCCGCTATTTTTTTTTAAATAAGAACACTGTTGTTGATATAGTTTGTATATTTCATCTTCACTATTTCTCATAAACCTGCGGCAAGGTACGGTTTCCTTTACTGAAATGATAGTCATGCAAGAAAAAACAGTTTCCAACACTTAGTAACAGTTTCTGTTTTTTCAGTGGGAATCGTTATTAAGTAGGGCTGTCACAATATATCGGAAAACAAGTATATGCTTCCCACAATCCCTTACAGACATAGCCAAAAGTACTTACACACAAATATATGCTTCCCACAATCCCTTACAGACATAACCAAAAGTACTTACACACAAGTATAGGCTTCCCACAATCCCTTACAGACATAGCCAAGATTACTTACACACAAGTATATGCTTCCCACAATCACTTACAGACATAGCCAAAAGTACTTACACACAAGTAAATGCTTCCCACAATCCCTTACAGACATAGGCAAGAGTACTTACACACAAGTATATGCTTCCCACAATCCCTTACAGACATAGCCAAAAGTACTTACACACAAGTATATGCTTCCCAAAATCCCTTACGAACATAGCCAAAAGTACTTACACACAAGCATATGCTTCCCACAATCCCTTACAAACAAAACCAAAAGTACTTACACACAAGTATATGCTTCCCACAATCCCTTACAAACATAGCCAAGAGTACTTACACACAAGTATAGGCTTCCCACAATCCCTTATAGACATAGCCAAGAGTACTTACACACAAGTATATGCTTCCCACAATCCCTAGCCAAAAGTACTTATACACAAGTATATGCTTCCCACAATCCCTTACAAACATAGCCAAGAGGACTTACACACAAGTATAGGCTTCCCACAATCCCTTATAGACATAGCCAAGAGTACTTACACACAAGTATAGGCTCCCCACAATCCCTTATAGACATAGCCAAGAGTACTTACACACAAGTATATGATTCCCACAATCCCTTACAGACATAGCCAAAAGTACTTACACATAAGTATATGCTTCCCACAATCCCTTACAGACATACCCAAAAGTACTTACACACAAGCATATGCTTCCCACAATCCCATACAGACATAGCCAAAAGTACTTACACACAAGTATAGGCTTCCCACAATTCCTTACAGACATAGCCAAGAGTACTTACACACAAGTATATGCTTCGCACAATCCCTTACAGACATAGCCAAAAGTACTTACACCCAAGTATAGGCTTCCCACAATCCCTTACAAACATAGCCAAAAGTACTTACACACAAGTATATGCTTCCAACAATCCCTTACAGACATAGCCAAAAGTACTTACACCCAAGTATAGGCTTCCCACAATCCCTTACAAACATAGCCAAAAGTACTTACACACAAGTATATGCTTCTCACAATCCCTTACAGACATAGCCAAAAGTACTTACACCCAAGTATAGGCTTCCCACAATCCCTTACAAACATAGCCAAGAGTACTTACACACAAGTATAGGCTTCCCACAATACCTTACAAACATAGCCAAAAGTACTTACACACAAGTATATGCTTCCCACAATCCCTAGCCAAAAGTACTTATACACAAGTATATGCTTCCCACAATCCCTTACAGACATAGCCAAAACTACTTACACACAAGTATATGCTTCCCACAATCCCTTACAGACATACCCAAAAGTACTTACACACAAGCATATGCTTCCCACAATCCCTTACAGACATAGCCAAAACTACTTACACACAAGTATATGCTTCCCACAATCCCTTACATACATAGCCAAAAGTACTTACACACAAGTATAGGCTTCCCACAATCCCTTACAGACATAGCCAGAAGTACATACACACAAGTATATGCTTCCCACAATCCCTAGCCAAAAGTACTTATACACAAGTATATGCTTCCCACAATCCCTTACAAACATAGCCAAAAGTACTTACACACAAGTATATGCTTCTCACAATCCCTTACAGACATAGCCAAAAGTACTTACACACAAGCATATGCTTCCCACAATCCCTTACATACATAGCCAAAAGTACTTACACACAAGTATAGGCTTCCCACAATCCCTTACAAATATAGCCAAGAGCACTTACACACAAGTAAATGGTTCCCACAATCCCTTACAGACATAGCCAAAAGTACTTACACACAAGCATATGCTTCCCACAATCCCTTACAGACATAGCCAAGAGTACTTACACACAAGTATAGGCTTCCCACAATCCCTTACAGACATAGCCAAAAGGACAGGTCACTCCAACACAGTCGTTACGGACACAGTTATTTTGAATAGATGTTCGCTTGGCAAGTTTTATATCTGTGTTGGTGTTGGATTCCTGAGTTGTCATGGGGAACCAGGCCATCTCCATCCGAATGTCATTGTAACAGGCTGCAACACAATATTTAATGTCAATATTAGCCGACACTCTACCTCTCTATCCGAATGTCATTGTAACAGGCTGCAACACAATATTAAATGTCAATATTAGCCGACACTCTACATCTCCATTGGTTTGATCATAGTCACGTGGAGGTCAGTGATTTGTGATATTGATCCAATGTTACTATTTTTTATACAGCAGGTCGATATTTACTTCATAATGTCATTTCAATGGTAACATTACAATGCTCTCTACCAAATACATTGTTTTCCTCGGCGATTTTTATATGTTTCATCTTATTTCATGATTAAAACATTTTTTTAGCATCTAGCTAGTATAAAAATTAAAGACTTTAATCTCGGTGAATATGTGATCGTTATATGGACCTGAGAAAGTGATATTTACCTGTTGACCTTGTCTCGGTCAATATTACTTTCTCACATCCATATAACCACATATTTACCATAACAAAAGTTCAGAATTTACCATTATTTACCATATTCTTTCACCAAAACAATCTACGATTAATTTTATGCTAATTATCAATAAAAATCTAGGATAGGTTCAACTGTTTAAAGAAACATACCCAGTGACAATTGATAAATAAAAGTAAGTGACATATAAATCTGACGACTGCATAAATTATGAAATTCACCTGGGAGAAAAGTTACTACTCACAGCTGTTAAAGTCCCTGCTACCATATGTTCCAGTTGTAGCCGAGCTGTCCGCATAGTTTACTTCTGCTCCAGCGTAGATCTGCCTTTGTAACAAAGTTATCTCCCCTTGACCATTTGCTGGACCATGTGTTGTGACATAGTAAGGTCCCTCCCCTCCATCCATCATCATTACAAAGCTTCTGCTGATACGTGTGATGGTAACTCTGTGCCACTGACCATCACTGGCTCTTATGCCTGGCATGGCCAGAGATCCTTGGTCTCCACCAAGGTTATAGTCCAATAACAGCTCGTTATACATGATCTGGGGAAATTAAACAGATAATTTCTAAATAAACTGGCATCACAAACAAGGGCTTTCCCACCCTGTTAACAGTACCTAGTTACATATCACACTTCTAACTTCATTTTCTGATAATGAATTGAATTGTATCTTGACCAATGCCAATTCAAAGAAATATTTAGCAAATTCAAGTACTTTTTTGAGACACACCTTATTCAAGGAGGTTTTGAGCACTAAACTCAACTCCAGGTCTTTTTATGGCCTGTAGTTCACAGCATTTATCGGATAACCTTATCTACTAAAAACTTTTAAATATTTTCATCTCACAGATCGACACTTACCTGTAATCTGATAAACTTGCCAGCATCGGACGAGGACATGTGGAACAGGACTCCCTCCTGATCCCTGGACCGATACATCAGCTTCAGCTTGGTCTCTGTCACTGACAGCTGATTGGCAAAAGAGCTAACCAACGACCATTCCATAAAACTATTGACACCAAAATCAACAATGGTGGTGGCTGAAACAAAACAAATTAAAAAGTTATAATTGTTGATTTACATATAATATTTTTCTTTTTTTTCAAAACTTACAACTCATACCTTTACTTAATATTGCAATGTACAGTAGAATAATAAAAGTTTAAAAATATTACAAGACAATCAAAAACATGGGTTACACCATATGGATGTACAGCAGAACTAACTTAGAAACCATGAAAAGGCTGGTCACTTCATAAACTTAGCTAAGAAATATTAATCTCATCTCACCAACAATATTTTACTACAGCTCCAAACATTTGACTGAAGCCTCAACTGTAACCATGGTGATTTCAGTGTAAGTTTTCATACTTGGCAAATCTAAAAATGTCTTAAGGTACAATGACCCCGATTGGAAAAAATAGTTGTGTAAAACGCCTGAGTTTAAACTAATCTTCAATTAATTGGTTAATTTGAACAAAAGCAAGATGTAAAATATTCTAGAGTAGAGGCATGGGAGGAAGGAGTTCTTTAGCAATATTTGTACCTGTATCACAGTTGCTGCCTCTGTAGCCTGCATCACAGATACACTCTGTTGTCTTGGGGGTAGTGGAAATATCAGTGACGCGACACTCTCCATTGTCACCACATTTGTTACCGCAGGCCTGGTCTTCTTCGGGACAGCTGTCTGTGGTCCCCGCGTATATACCTCCAGTGTGAAGGTCATACAGCTGTACAAATACAATAGTCAAGGTCATGAACAATACAATTCAGTATGGCCATATAACAATGCCTCATAAAAATCTGTTTAATCAAATGTGAGAACAGCATTTTCTTTTTTCGGATGTGCGATGAATGTCAATAAAAAAAAGTTTTGAAATTTCCGTTATAATTTAAATTTGACATCACAGTATGATTGCTCTCTGATTTCAGAATGACAGAAAGATCCTAACAGTGTTTTTATTGGAAAACATTCACATGTGATAGCTCTAGCTGTAACAGTTACTGATCCAAGAAATAGGTCATTTAAATGTTCAGTGTGAATAACAATATCAAATATATGGTCGTATATCCTGAACACATGCAGGAAAATTAAAGGATGATAATGTGGTCTCGGCATATTTACCTCTCCCTTATGTCGCAGGTTCCTCATACATCCAGTAAATTTTGTCTCGATGACTTCAGGCGGTGTTGTTACAGTAGACGGAGACAACCCACCCATCTGTAGCGGCGTGTTGACATTGAGGTACATGTGCGTACTCTTGGAGTATCCAGACAACTCACAACTACTTCTGTCTCCAGCCGAGGCCGACCGACAGCCATCCACAACCAAAGTGAACATCTACAAATATACATATTCCATCGTCATGGTGATCATCTATGCATCTTTATATATATGAAATCTGCTTTCAGTGATCTTCTATAAATATTTATATATAAAGTTTACTGTCAGTGATCATCTATAAATATTTATATATAAAGTTTACTGTCAGTGATCTTCTATAAATATTTATATATAAAGTCTACTGTCAGTGATCTTCTATAAATATTGATCTTCTATAAATATTTTATATATAAAGACTACTGTCAGTGGTCTTCTATAAATATTTATATATAAAGTCTACTGTCAGTGGTCTTCTATAAATATTTTATATATAAAGTCTACTGTCAGTGATCTTCTATAAATATTTATATATAAAGTCTACTGTCAGTGATCTTCTATAAATGTTTATATATAAAGTTCACTGTCAGTTGTCTTCTATATGCACATATCAAACAAAGTAATGTCAGACGTTCTTCAGTTTAAAAAGGAAGATATATTTCTGGTTAGACTAAATTATAGTACTTTGATGCAACATTTTTTACTACCATAGAAGGAGAAAAATATCTAAAATCATATTTAAAAGTAGATTATCACACGTTTATATTCTGTGTGGAAGGGAAACACGATTCTTTGTTATCCATGTTTATAGTCATGTTTCAAGAGGGTGAAACACTAAAATATCACGTACCTTTCCATCCTTGATGATGTCAATACGATGCCACTTGCCATCGTTGAGGGTACTGGCTCCTGTTCCACTGAGGTACAAGGTCAGAGCACCAGTTCCAAGGTCAACTTTGAGTTCAGGATATCCATTTCTGAGTTGTAGGACCAGGTAGTCAGTAGGATCAGTGTAGGACAAGTCTGTAAGAGGGCCATTGTAAAAGATGATTCCGTTGGCATTCTCTGTGATGAACTCAATGCTTGTCTCCCACCTCAGGCACTGCTCTAGTGGTTTAAACAGAGCATATCCACTTCCTGTGAAACCTTTCTTTGTGTTCTGGCATCTTGGACCATCAAATGAGGCTGTACATACACACCTACAATAACACAAAATTTTGTTGACTTGACCTTGACCTTCCACTGGGATAGATAGATTAATATCAATTCTTGTAAATTTCATGAAATTTGGTAAAAACTGTGGCATTGAACACCATTAATCACACAACTTACAAAAATGGTCCGACCCTGTCTATATCCACGTTATCTTTAATTTGGAAACATAGACTATTGCCAAGGCTGCATGAATTTGTAATTCAATGTAGAAAGTTAAAATGATAAGGATAATGACATACGAGAGTAGTCCGTAGTCATCTTTGACACATTGGCCGTCATTGAAGCAATAGTCAGGAGTGCATTCCGTCTGATTGACAGGCACACGACAGCCACACTGAGCTGTTACGCCAGATATCACGCCCACTTTGGTGTCTGTGCCCGCGTTGACCACATTAGGAGCATCCTCCACCACTAGTTTATCCCAACAGCCTCCCTCACACGACTCCTTGAGACACTCCGAAACTCCCACCATTTCCACCTTACCACCGAAGGCATTTTCAAACTGTGTAGGATGCAAGAAATTATTTAAGAATTAAGAATATCCTGAATTCAAAACATCACAAAATCTGTTAGCTTATCAGTCATTTACATTTGAAGCTCAGTCACCGATATCAAATGAAAAAGATAGAAAAAAGATTTATTCAGAATACAGGACTAGCTACAGTAAAACATGCTTACACTGAGGGGACTTAATAAAAATGTTCACTACAGGAAACTGTATATTTCGTGTATTCAAAACATCAAACTATTTTTCAGAGGACATTACATCTGCTCCAAACATCAACAAGTTTAACAACAGAACAGATAAACAGCAAGATGAAGAAATTTATTATAACTATAGGGCAAATGTAAATAGCTATAAACTTTAAATTTAAATTGTACAATTGTTTGATTTGGATTCTGTGTAGAGTGGCTTCATCTGCTCAACTAAACATTAAAGCACATTTTAATCCCCAGGGAACGTAAGATATACTCGTCTCTACAATATAACAAGTTTATAATGAATACCAGGGAACGTAAGATATACTCATCTCTACAATATAACAAGTTTATAATGAATACCAGGGAACGTAAGATATACTCATCTCTACAATACAACAAGTTTATAATGAATACCAGGAGATATAAGAAGTTTACTACAGACAAACATTGCTACAGACATTCAAGGGAACCCAAATATCAACTAAAATTCATTATCAGTGTCTTCATGAAGAACATCTTTTATAGAATAGAAAGCAAAGGCATCATGAAGGATTCGTTGAGTCGGGTTTAACCTACCTCATTCTTGTTGTCGGTGACGATTCCATTAAGGCGTGCACTCGTATAGTACGGAGAGCCGTGGGCGGCAAAACGAACTTCCAAAGTGTGAGGCTCGCTATCAACTTTATCAACTATAGTTACTATTTGTACGTTTTCAACAGGTTTACCCAGTTTATCAGACATTAATTTACGGGTTTCATCGTATTTGCTGTTGCCACCATTGGAAGGAGTACTGATAAATTCCTTGGCTGTGATTCCTGGAACAGAGGATATGTAGAAATGTCTCACAATGACTTTTATGAGATGCGTCAAGGAACACAACCATTTGATGAAGACATTTCATATTTTAAGGATCACACCTGTGTAATAAAGACATTTCTTGCTTCAGGGACGACAAATGTGTGATAAAGACATTTCATACTTCAGGGATCACACCTGTGTAATAAAGACATTTCTTGCTTCAGGGACGACAAATGTGTGATAAAGACATTTCATACTTCAGGGATCACACCTGTGTAATAAAGACATTTCTTGCTTCAGGGACGACAAATGTGTGATAAAGACATTTCATACTTCAGGGATCACACCTGTGTAATAAAGACATTTCTTGCTTCAGGGACGACAAATGTGTGATAAAGACATTTCATACTTCAGGGATCACACCTGTGTAATAAAGACATTTCTTGCTTCAGGGACGACAAATGTGTGATAAAGACATTTCATACTTCAGGGATCACACCTGTGTAATAAAGACATTTCTTGCTTCAGGGACGACAAATGTGTAATAAAGACATTTCATACTTCAGGGATCACACCTGTGTAATAAAGACATTTCTTGCTTCAGGGATCACACCTGTGTAATAAAGACATTTCATACTTCAGGGATTACAGCTCTAAAACATAAATGTTTCTCATGGGTTATCTACAAAACAGTTAACGATGAACAGCAGGACATCATGATGGTTGTCCAAAGTCTTTTATCATCCTACATTATTACTGAGGAGTGAGCTATTCTAGTTTACGTAATAGGCAACAGTAGGTAGAGCTCTATAGATACCCAGTATGTATTTACAAAAAACACAACAGTGGTGTTCTATAGATACCCAGTATGTATTTGACCATTGTGACAACAGAATGTATGTATTTTGAATTACAGATACAGTTAATATATTTGATTTAGAATGTGTATCCAACTTTGGCAATTCTTTTGTATTTGCAGATTTTATTGATCCTATAAAGAAATGTGAAGGTACCACTGAGTCTAACAGATCCGGCCCTGTAGGGAGCCTCCTCGTCCAGCTCCTGCTGTGTAAGTGTCACTACGGTAGTAGAGGTGGCTGTGGTGATACTGCCACCTATCTTCACCCCTGTGTCCACTACTCTCACTTTGAAATCAAATGAGTCGTATGGCAGATTTGATAGCATCTCAATGTCACCATTTGTTGCCACCCTGTAACAATGAAAAAATGGAAACAATACAGATTCCACATACTTTGAGAGAGCATTAAGTTTCGGCAAATATACTTGGTCTATAACTAATAGGCTATGTATCAACATAATGGTTCTTCTCAGTTAATATACAGTCAAACCTTTCTTAGCGACCACCTGCTATAAACGGTCACCTATCGTTAGCGGTCGCTATTTATAAATATGTAGTTAATTAATTATTATATTTTATGTCGTAGGACGTGATATTTAGGTACGTGTTTGTATTAACAAAGAAATATTTCAAAGATTTCACCCCTATGTAACTTTAGTAGACTCTACCATGCATTGATCTGGATCAGTCCATTATGGTCTACAGTGGTGAAAGGGTTAAATGAATTTCGCTTATTCTAGACTTGTTGATACATGTTATAAAATATTACTTGAACCTGGAGTAAACAGCCAACATCCTGGTGTTCAGTAGGTGACCACTAACACAGGTTTGACAGTATTCTACTCTTTTTAATAGCAAGAAAATGCTGAACATTTTATATATAGTTCATTTTGCATCTAAGCTTTTCACTGAAAGTAAAGTTCTCAATGACACTCTATTATTTATCTTGTGTAGACTTAAAGTCAATATGTACAGTGTAGGGTAGAGGTACCAATGGCACTCTATTATTTATCTTGTGTAGACTTAAAGTCAATATGAACAGTGTAGAGTAGAGGTACCAATGACACTCTAATATTTGTCTTGTGTAGACTTATAGTCAATATGTACAGTGTAGAGTAGAGGTACCAATGACACTCTATCATTTATCTTGTGTAGACTTATAGTCAATATGTACAGTGGAGAGTAGAGGTACCAATGACACTCTATTATTTGTCTTGTGTAGACTCATAGTCAATATGTACAGTGTAGAGTAGAGGTACCAATGACTCTCTATTATTTATCTTGTGTAGACTTATAGTCAATAAGTACAGTGTAGAGTAGAGGTACCAATGACACTCTAATATTTGTCTTGTGTAGACTTATAGTCAATATGTACAGTGTAGAGTAGAGGTACCAATGACCCTCTATTATTTATCTTGTGTAGACTTATAGTCAATAAGTACAGTGTAGAGTAGAGGTACCAATGACACTCTATCATTTATCTTGTGTAGACTTAAAGCCAATATGTACAGTGTAGAGTAGAGGTACCAATGACACTCTATCATTTATCTTGTGTAGACTTATAGTCAATATGTACAGTGGAGAGTAGAGGTACCAATGACACTCTATTATTTGTCTTGTGTAGACTCATAGTCAATATGTACAGTGTAGAGTAGAGGTACCAATGACACTCTATCATTTATCTTGTGTAGACTTATAGTCAATATGTACAGTGTAGAGTAGAGATACCAATGACACTCTATTATTTGTCTTGTGTAGACTCATAGTCAATATGTACAGTGTAGAGTAAAGGTACCAATGACACTCTATTATTTGTCTTGTGTAGACTTTAAGTCAATATTTACAGTGTAGAGTAGAGGTACCAATGACACTCTAATATTTGTCTTGTGTAGACTTATAGTCAATATGTACAGTGTAGAGTAGAGATACCAATGACACTCTATTATTTGTCTTGTGTAGACTCATAGTCAATATGTACAGTGTAGAGTAGAGGTACCAATGACACTCTAATATTTGTCTTGTGTAGACTTATAGTCAATATGTACAGTGGAGAGTAGAGGTACCAATGACACTCTATTATTTGTCTTGTGTAGACTTTAAGTCAATATGTACAGTGTAGATTAGAGGTACCAATGACACTCTATTATTTGTCTTGTGTAGACTTTAAGTCAATATGTACAGTGTAGAGTAGAGGTACCAATGACCCTCTATTATTTATCTTGTGTAGACTTATAGTCAATATGTAACGTGTAGAGTAGAAGTACCAATGACACTCTATTATTTGTCTTGTGTAGACTTATAGTCAACATGTACAGTGTAGAGTAGAGGTACCAATGACACTCTATTATTTGTCTGGTGTAGACTTATAGTCAATATGTACAGTGTAGAGTAAAGGTACCAATGTAGACAGGTATATATCTTGTAGACTTATAGTCAATATGTACAGTGTAGAGTAAAGGTACCAATGACACTCTATTATTTGTCTTGTGTAGACTTTAAGTCAATATGTACAGTGTTGAGTAGAGGTACCAATGACACTCTATTATTTGTCTGGTGTAGACTTATAGTCAATATGTACAGTGTAGAGTAGAGATACCAATGACACTCTATTATTTGTCTTGTGTAGACTTTAAGTCAATATTTACAGTGTAGAGTAGAGGTACCAATGACACTCTAATATTTGTCTTGTGTAGACTTATAGTCAATATGTACAGTGTAGAGTAGAGGAACCAATGACACTCTATTATTTGTCTTGTGTAGACTTATAGTCAATATGTACAGTGTAGAGTAAAGGTACCAATGTAGACAGGTATATATCTCACTACTTACCAATTGTCAATATGTTTCCATTCAAATTCAAAGCTTACTAATTCTTATCCTATACAACACCCACTTACTTGACAAAAGCATTTGTGTAATCTGATATTTTGCTGAAGGTCTTAGTAGCCCGGTCATCATCTCCGTCAAGGTCGTTAAAACCTACACGACCAATGATCACGTTCTTGAAGAGACCTACAACATGGAATACATTGAATAATCATACCAACACTATTAAATATACAAAACAGAAATATTTACATAATTTGAATAAACAAATAATATCTGAGATTGTGAACCAACAGCAAAAGTGTGCTGGATGCATCAGGTGTAAATCAGTATTTAAATACATGCTTTTGCCCAGTGTAAATATTTGCCCCTTTGCTGATAAAATCCATGCTCACCCAGTGTAAATTTTGCCCACAACTGCTATGTAGTGTATGCTGTGTACATAACTGTAGTTTCACCAACCTTTGTAGTTGTAAACGAACATAGACTGTTCTGCATTAGTGTTTATGTTGTCGTTTTCATCCTCAATTACGATTGTCAGGGTGCTGGTCGCAGATACGCCCGCTCTGTCTTTTATCACAACATTGACAAGATATTGGCTAACTTCCTCACGGTCCAGTGGCTTTAAAGAACTCACTGATAGAGCCTGGCCACCTGCAGATGTGGCTGAAATAGACACAAATGGCATCAATAGATGTAAACATTATAATTTGTCGCTAAATGTCGCTGATTTGCTATGACAAGATATAATGTAAAATAGTTTACAGTGCACATACAGAGACAAAAGTGGGCAATTTGGATATCATTCATCAACTAAACCATACAAGAGCCTTAGGGACGCTCCATACTAATTGTTTTGAGGTTTAAATCCCTGTTTAAGGAGTAGTACCTTATTCCCCTGATTTCCCCTCCTAACTAACCCCCTCTGTCCCTGGAAGACTATGCCAAATTAGATTAAAATCCCTCATCAACAATTAATCAGTTATCTTTTAAAAACTTACACCATGTTTCCTAATGGGTCATGCCCCATTGCTCCTGGGTGGGGAGGGGCACATCTTTCATTTACACATATATATTCATGATTACTTTCGCCCTGAATTTGTTCTATACCAAGTTTTATTCAAACCCATTCTGAAGCAGGAGTCTACGTCCTGTAGTCCTATAGGGCCCCAGTCCTCTGTTCCTGTGGTCCTATATAGGGCCCCAGTCCTCTGTTCCGAAAGAAATGGAGAGGTGGGGGTCACACCTTTATTATTACAAAATTTAATTAGTTTTGTCTATAGACCCACCAGCATCTGTCAAAACCCCTTCCATCCTTCTAGACTAGGAATTTATTAAAAGTAAACTAGACGACAGATGGAGGGATGGATAGATGACACATAATGCAACATAGCTCATTTGGCCAAGCGATTAAACTGAACAAATGTCAATTGTGTTTTCAGAATCCTCACCAACAGCTCGTATGTCAAAATCAAATTTGCCGCAGACAGTCGGGGAATTAGAATTACACAAAACTGGGTTGAAACTAAATGGCGGGCCATTCTCATCACTGTCTGGATCCTCAGCATACAGTGTCGCAAAGTTTGCCTGGGCCGCAATATTCTCCTTTATAGACACTTGGTTTACCATAAGGCTAGGTCCGTTGTCATTGACATCCTCTAGCGTGATGCTGATGGTGGTGCTTCCTGTCTGGGGAGGAGAGCCTACAACAGAAGTTATAAACATATGGTGATGGGAACAACAGATCAGGACAGTAACCTACCACGGACACAGCCACAAGTAAGTGTAACAGAGCAGTCAAAGCAGTAATAAATATAAACTGTATTTATTTTACAACAATTATGAAATAAGTTATTACAACCTATATTAATCACTCTTGTTGGCTCGGAGGTTATGTGCTGGGGAGTCTTAATGTGGGAGGAAACAAGAGTACTCGAATAAAACCTATGTGGTCATGCAGATGACCCCAATCCTTTTCACGTCGAATCAGGGAATCAAACCCCTGCTGTCTTGGTGAGAGGCAAACCATGTGTGACAATGGAGATATATGCACTTTTTATGATAATTGAATATGCTGTTAGAGAGGCAAGTCATGAATTGTTTGTTTGTTTGTTTGTTTGTTTGTTTAATATCCTAACAGCTATGGTACGTTATTTAAGGATGTGCCAGGTTTTGGTTCAAGAAAGCAGGAGTACCCAGACAAAAACCAACGGCCTGTGGCCAGTACTTGGTGACTGCCCCACGTAGACCTCAAACCTGTGATCCAGTGGTGGAGGGCTAGTGATCGTAGTCAGTCAGATGCCTTAACCACTCGGCTGCCGTGACCCCATGTCCATTCTAGTACCCATGCTAGGCAATCCTTGACCTATTATTCAGCTCGTAAATGTCGTCTCTAAATAAAGTTTGATACAGAAAGGCTACTGTATACCTGAATCTACAGCCAAGACAACAAGGTCAAACGTAGGTACAGTGTCTGTATACCTGAATCTACAGCCAAGACAACAAGGTCAAACGTAGGTACAGTGTCTGTATACCTGAATCTACAGCCAAGACAACAAGGTCAAACGTAGGTACAGTGTCTGTATACCTGAATCTACAGCCAAGACAACAAGGTCAAACGTAGGTACAGTGTCTGTATACCTGAATCTACAGCCAAGACAACAAGGTCAAACGTAGGTACAGTGTCTGTATACCTGAATCTACAGCCAAGACAACAAGGTCAAACGTAGGTACAGTGTCTGTATACCTGAATCTACAGCCAAGACAACAAGGTCAAACGTAGGTACAGTGTCTGTATACCTGAATCTACAGCCAAGACAACAAGGTCAAACGTAGGTACAGTGTCTGTATACCTGAATCTACAGCCAAGACAACAAGGTCAAACGTAGGTACAGTGTCTGTATACCTGAATCTACAGCCAAGACAACAAGGTCAAACGTAGGTACAGTGTCTGTATACCTGAATCTACAGCCAAGACAACAAGGTCAAACGTAGGTACAGTGTCTGTATACCTGAATCTACAGCCAAGACAACAAGGTCAAACGTAGGTACAGTGTCTGTATACCTGAATCTACAGCCAAGACAACAAGGTCAAACGTAGGTACAGTGTCTGTATACCTGAATCTACAGCCAAGACAACAAGGTCAAACGTAGGTACAGTGTCTGTATACCTGAATCTACAGCCAAGACAACAAGGTCAAACGTAGGTACAGTGTCTGTATACCTGAATCTACAGCCAAGACAACAAGGTCAAACGTAGGTACAGTGTCTGTATACCTGAATCTACAGCCAAGACAACAAGGTCAAACGTAGGTACAGTGTCTGTATACCTGAATCTACAGCCAAGACAACAAGGTCAAACGTAGGTACAGTGTCTGTATACCTGAATCTACAGCCAAGACAACAAGGTCAAACGTAGGTACAGTGTCTGTATACCTGAATCTACAGCCAAGACAACAAGGTCAAACGTAGGTACAGTGTCTGTATACCTGAATCTACAGCCAAGACAACAAGGTCAAACGTAGGTACAGTGTCTGTATACCTGAATCTACAGCCAAGACAACAAGGTCAAACGTAGGTACAGTGTCTGTATACCTGAATCTACAGCCAAGACAACAAGGTCAAACGTAGGTACAGTGTCTGTATACCTGAATCTACAGCCAAGACAACAAGGTCAAACGTAGGTACAGTGTCTGTATACCTGAATCTACAGCCAAGACAACAAGGTCAAACGTAGGTACAGTGTCTGTATACCTGAATCTACAGCCAAGACAACAAGGTCAAACGTAGGTACAGTGTCTGTATACCTGAATCTACAGCCAAGACAACAAGGTCAAACGTAGGTACAGTGTCTGTATACCTGAATCTACAGCCAAGACAACAAGGTCAAACGTAGGTACAGTGTCTGTATACCTGAATCTACAGCCAAGACAACAAGGTCAAACGTAGGTACAGTGTCTGTATACCTGAATCTACAGCCAAGACAACAAGGTCAAACGTAGGTACAGTGTCTGTATACCTGAATCTACAGCCAAGACAACAAGGTCAAACGTAGGTACAGTGTCTGTATACCTGAATCTACAGCCAAGACAACAAGGTCAAACGTAGGTACAGTGTCTGTATACCTGAATCTACAGCCAAGACAACAAGGTCAAACGTAGGTACAGTGTCTGTATACCTGAATCTACAGCCAAGACAACAAGGTCAAACGTAGGTACAGTGTCTGTATACCTGAATCTACAGCCAAGACAACAAGGTCAAACGTAGGTACAGTGTCTGTATACCTGAATCTACAGCCAAGACAACAAGGTCAAACGTAGGTACAGTGTCTGTATACCTGAATCTACAGCCAAGACAACAAGGTCAAACGTAGGTACAGTGTCTGTATACCTGAATCTACAGCCAAGACAACAAGGTCAAACGTAGGTACAGTGTCTGTATACCTGAATCTACAGCCAAGACAACAAGGTCAAACGTAGGTACAGTGTCTGTATACCTGAATCTACAGCCAAGACAACAAGGTCAAACGTAGGTACAGTGTCTGTATACCTGAATCTACAGCCAAGACAACAAGGTCAAACGTAGGTACAGTGTCTGTATACCTGAATCTACAGCCAAGACAACAAGGTCAAACGTAGGTACAGTGTCTGTATACCTGAATCTACAGCCAAGACAACAAGGTCAAACGTAGGTACAGTGTCTGTATACCTGAATCTACGGCCAAGACAACAAGGTCAAACGTAGGTACAGTGTCTGTATACCTGAATCTACAGCCAAGACAACAAGGTCAAACGTAGGTACAGTTTCCCGGTCCAGTGTTCTCTGGTTTACAATCTCTCCTTGACCATTCGGAAGATTTCTTACTGCAAAGTACTTGTTTGGATCCGACTCCAGTAGAATAAAAAATCTGAAAAGATACACAGGTTACATCAATTATTACACAGAAGAAATGTGTAATTTCATACTTTGAAACAAGCTTTCTTCTCCTTTACAAATTAATAGATACAGCATTACAAATGATACACTTCCTGAAGATGTCATAAATCAGCAATAGAAAAATACCTTTCAAATGAGTGGCTAGTCACACATCACCCTGGTCTCTGATAATCAATATCATTATGTCTGTATCTTTTGAATATGTCTGTTTTTTTCAAGAGAATTTTCAAAGTTGCCAAAATGTTTTAAATGATTTAAATTTTCTATCCACTGTAAGAAGTGACAAGACCTTGATCGGTAAAACAATTTGGTTCAAATTATTCTCATGCCTGAATTTTTAATGAAGGCAAGTCAAAATCCATTTTGAAATTAAAGTTCAAGTGATGATCAACTTGACTATAGATATCAACAGTGACCTTGACTTTGCTGTTTACAATATCCTGATCCAAAAACCTTTCTAGCAGTTTTCAAGATTAATTAAAATATTAAAACAGTTGTTGTTCGAGAGTATCGCTATGCTAGAATTTGCAGACATCACTACAATACGGAAAAGGCATGTTATGAACAACAGATGAAATTAAAACTTGTGTTCCAGACTATAAAAATCCAGAAAATTCATGTACCAAACAATTCCAGAAAACTGATAAATCCAGAACACCTGTGTACCAGATAATCCGAAAAACTCACGTACCAGATAATCTGAAATACTTATATACCAGATAATCTGAAAAACTCACGTACCAGATAATCCGAAATACTCATGTACCAGATAATCCAAAAAACTCACGTACCAGATAATCCGAAATACTCATGTACCAGATAATCCGAAATAATCACGTACCAGATAATCTGAAATAATCATGTACCAGATAATCCAAAATACTCATGTACCAGATAATTCGAAATAATCATGTACAAGATAATCCGAAAAACTCACGTACCAGATAATCCGAAAAACTCACGTACCAGATAATCCGAAAAACTCATGTACCAGATAATCCGAAATAATCACGTACCAGATAATCCAGAAAACTGTTGTACAAGTTAATCAAGAAAACGCACATTCTGGGTACTTAAAGACCATTTTAATGAAAATTTCTACATTGTTTAACATTTTGGTCTTTCCCATTTTCCAATCATGTGAGCACTGATACTTCAGACACAGTACTTACTCGAATTTCTTGTTATCACCAGAGTCAATATCAGTTGCTGTGAAATTAGCAATGACTGTGTCTTTGCCAATGTCTTCCGAGAAATTGCCTCCTTGAAAAACATGGATGTCGGAGAAGACTGGAGCATTATCATTGACGTCCTCCACTGTCACCTCGACATAACAAACATCCGAAAACGTCCCGTCTGTAACCGTTACCGAGACATTGAAGAAAACCTCGCCAACGTCAAAGTCAGGACTCTGGAATGATAAAGAAAAAGTGAAATGACAAATTGTTATTATCAAAAACATATCAATATGTTGGCCAGTCACTGACAAAACTACAACAAGAGGCTTATCTGGCTTCCATCGTTTATGTACCATATGGCCCTTCTGTTAACTGAATAAAAACAAAGTGAGTGAGTTTTTTTAAAGGATAAACACAAATCTCTCCTTTCAGGCTCTGTCCCTCTGTCCCAACCAAACTCCTCATTGATACAACTTTTATCTGAAAGTTCCCCACGAAACTCACTCAAAATCACTTACCTAATCTGGTTATATGTTGACAAAGACTGGGGTGAGGTAATGATAAAATATTATCTTTCATTGACAATATTACATACTCTTATATTTCATTAAATCTATGTAAATGCTGGTCTGTCGTTGAAAAACTATACAAAATGGTCTTTATATATAGCTTCCTCATCAAACAAATTACAGTCACTATACAGGTATGATAGTAAAGGTAAGATATGTCTATAACAGTAAAGGTAAGATATGTCTATGATAGTAAAGGTAAGATATGTCTATAACAGTAAAAATAAGATATGTCTATAATAGTAAAGGTAAGATATGTCTATAACAGTAAAGGTAAGATCTATCTATAATAGTAAAGGTAAGATCTGTCTATAACAGTAAAGGTAAGATATGTCAATAACAGTAAAGGTAAGATATGTCAATAACAGTAAAGGTAAGATATGTCTATAACAGTAAAGGTAAGATATGTCTATAACAGTAAAGGTAGGATATGTCTATAATAGTAAAGGTAAGATATGTCTATAAAAGTAAAGGTAAGATATGTCTATAACAGTAAAGGTAAGATCTGTCTATAATAGTAAAGGTAAGATATGTCTATAACAGTAAAGTTAAGATATGTCTGTAATAGTAAAGGTAAGATATGTCTATAATAGTAAAGGTAAGATATGTCTATAAAAGTAAAGGTAAGATATGTCCATAATAGTAAAGATAAAATATGTCTATAATAGGGGCAAGTTGACATAAGTGTACTTACAAAATGGACAATAAGATGAGCCAAACCATTTTGTTGATTCGTGGCAAAGTATTTAAAATCTGTATCAGAAACACTGTAGGATAAAATGGCTGATACATCCTCGTCGTAAGCAGTGATTGCAACGATGTTTCCCATTTTTGTCTCCGGAATGGAAACAGAAAGTAGACTGTTATTACATTTAGGTTCGTGGTCATTGACGTCAATAACATAGATGGTGGCTGTGCCGGTTGTAGTTCTAGCAGTAACACCAGTGGAGCCATCTTGAGCAGTAACAAGTACAAAAAACTTGTCATTTGTCTCGCGATCAATTTGTGCATTGGTATTAATCTGACCATTTCGACTGTCAGGGAGGCTAAACACAGGACTGTTGACGGGAACCAAACTATAGGACACCTCTCCGTTGGGTCCCTGGTCGATATCCTCCGCCTCCACCGTCATCACACTGGTACCTGGAATAATATGCCTTCATTAATTTTACTTACACAAAAAAAACTCTCCACAGATTGATAACTCACTGGATTAATGACTCATTAGATATATTACTCACTAGATTGATAACTCACTGGACTGACAACTCACTGGATATATAACACTAGATTGATAACTAACTAGATATATAACTAACTAGATTGATAACCCATTATATATATAACTCACTAGATTGGTATGATAACTCACTAGATTGATAACTAACTAGATTGATAACTCACTAGATATATAACTCACTAGAATGATAACTCATTAGATTGGTATGATAACTCACTAGATTGATAACTTACTAGATTGATAACTCACTAGATTGATAACTTACTAGATTGATAACTCACTAGATTGATAACTTACTAGATTGATAAATCACGAGATTGGTATGATAACTCACTAGATTGATAACTCATTAGATATTTAACTCACTAGATTGATAACTCACTAGATTGGTATGATAACTCACTAGATTGATAACTCACTAGATTGATAAATCACTAGATTGGTAACTTACTAGATTGATAACTCACTGGACTGATAACTCACTAGATTGATAACTCATTAGATTGATAACTCATTGGATTGATAACTCACTAGATTGGTATGATAACTCACTAGATTGGTATGATAACTCACTAGATTGGTATGATAACTCACTAGATTGGTATGATAACTCACTAGATTGATAACTCATTAGATATATATCTCACTAGATTGATAACTCACTAGATTGATAACTCACTAGATTGGTATGATAACTTACTAGATTGATAACTCACCGGACTGATAACTCACTGGATATATAACTCTAGATTGATAACTCTTTAGATTGGTATGCTAACTCACTAGATCGGTATGATAACTCACTAGATTGATAACTCACTAGACTGGTATGATAACTCACTAGATTTATAACTTACTAGAATGGTATGATAACTCACTAGAATGATAAATTACTAGATTGATAACTTACTAGATTGGTATGATAACTCACTAGATTGATAACTCACTTGAATGGTATGATAACTCTCTAAAATGATAACTTACTAGATTGTTAACTCATTAGATATAAATAACTTACTGGATTGATAACTTACTAGATTGATAACTTACTAGAATGGTATGATAACTTACTAGATTGATAACTTACTAGAATGGTATGATAACTTACTAGATTGGTATGATAAATCAATAGAATAGTATGATAACTCACTAAATTGGTATGATAACTCACTAGAATGGTATGATAACTCACTAAATTGGTATGATAACTCACTAGAATGGTATGATAATTCACTAGATTGATAACTTACTAGATTGATAACTCACTAGATTGATAACTCTCTAGATTGATAACTTACTGGGTTTAAGACTCACTAGGTTGATAACTTACTGGATATATAACACATTGGATTGATAACTTACTGGGTTTATGACTTACCCACACTTACTCCCTCCTTCACACTGCCTACTATAGTACTAGTATCAAACACTGGGCTGTTGTCATTTATGTCTCCTGGACGAACTTCAACAGTTGCGTAGGTTGTCAACGCTTGGGGAGACAATGGTTCATCAACTGCTCTCACAAGGAACCTGATGACAGATTGGCTGTCTCTATCTAATACTCCTTTCACCATCAGATTTCCAGTCGTTGCATCTAGATCAAATATGCTTATGACAGAGGAATCGCCTGGCTGGTTGAAGATGCTGTATTGTATATTTGTCTGTGCTCTGCCCAAGTCCCCATCTGTGGCTGACACCTATAATGACCATATCAAAGTTGAAAGGGTTCATCATATTTTAATTCAATTAACACCAGCTGTATGGTTAAAAAAATAATAATTCTAAAGATTTCTATCCACTTTTATAAATGTTAATCACTTGAGACTGCTTTTAAGGAGGATTTTTTATGTCCTTTCTGAAAGAGGATTTCTAAAGTTGTTTTGGAAAATTAAATATACTGTATACCTGCCTTCAAAATGGTTGAAATGAATGAATACTGTAAGGCAAGAGAAGCGGTTCTCTCATTCCTATGAGTATGCAACCGAACTGCCCAGGGTAAAAAAATGGTGAAAGAAATTGCCATCTTACATCCAATATCAAGTGTGTGACATCACAATGGGACAGAAATGACATGACATCACATCACAAACTTGTGAAGTTGTGATGCCGTGATGCGTAAATTGTGATGCCTTTTTGTGATTCTGAGCTAGTTCCGTTTTTTGGCATGTGAGAGAAACATTGAAGAGTATAAGACTATTTCAAGCCCAGGGGAGTAGGATAGGGAAATTACATCCGCAGAATGTTTAAATACCGTGGTAGGTGCAAAAATCTGGGCAAGCCTCAGGTTTTACCCAATTTGAAACCCCCGTGGGTGGAACTTCTCCATCCTACACCCCTGGGCATGAAAAAGTATGTATTCTTCAATGTGAGTGAAAATATTAACTGTATGCACAAAATTATGGAATCAAACTTTATATAAACAGAATTTAGGAAGCCGCTTTAAAAGTCACAAGAAAAACTGTATGTAATGTGAGGTTGAGCTGTAATAGTGAAACCTTCCGAAAGAAGTATGCCCTCATGGTGAATTTCTAAAAAAAATAACAACAACCTCGTGCAAGGATCCTCTGTCTATGAGACATCGTTAAGGTACATTTTATAATATCAAATGCATTATGTGTGTTTATAGAGGACAGACAGGTACATTATAAGGATAAAAACAAAATTGTACTTACCTGACCAATTAACAGTGGGCTACTGGTATAATCGCCCTCGTTGACAGAGTTGAAGTTGTACACAGGCATGGAGAACACAGGAGGCATATCGTTCACATCTAACACAGTGATATTCACATTGGTTTCTGCTGTAAATTTCCCGTCAAAAACTTTCGCTTTACAATTATACTGTAAGAAAACAAAAGATTTTGTATTTGAATTAATAATTGATCATAAGATGTATATAACATGTCAAATTATAATTTGTGATTTAAATTAATAGCTGATCATAAACCATATATAACAAATCAAATTGTAAGCTGCATTGTAAACCATGAAAACCAAAATGTTTACAAAGATTGAAGATTTAATAAAACCAATTATGAGTGATGAAGTTAACAGTATAGCTGAATTCTCCAACCACATGTCAAACAAATAACGTTTTTTTTTACATACACTGTATGATTATATCTCAAAAGTAGGGTATAAAAATATTATAATAAATTGATTCTCAAAGTCCTATCCTAAAGCAACACTCATCCCTCAGACCCCTGGGTGGTAAGGGGGTCTGTGGTTAATGTTTGGCTCAGACCCCTGGGTGGTAAGGGGGTCTGTGGTTGATGTTTGTCTAAGATAGGGAAATGGATAATTGAAACCTCTGAAATTGCACAAGAAGAAATTTGGTAATAATTGCTATATTATCCTCGTACATGTATCCTCCAATTCATGTCCTGTGACACATCAGGCCTTCATGCCTGCCCTTATGTTAAATCAGTCTCCCTTTACCTAATAAGGGCACCAGACACATGTTAATGTATGGCACCTACATTTAGACACATTTTTTTTCTCTCAGACGACATAACTTACCTGTGGCCCCCGATATAGTGACAGACTTGCCCGAGGTTTAGGATTACATCGCACACCTACATTAGACATGCTTTTTCTCAGACAACATAACTTGACCTCATTCTGTGACCCCTGATAGGGTGACTGAGTTGACCGAGGTTTAGGATTACTTTGCACGTCTACATTAGGCATGTTTTTTCCCCCCAGATGACATAACTTTACCTCATACAGTGAAATCGGATGGAGTGTCAGACTTGAGCGAAGTTTAGGATTACTTCCCACGCCTACATTTAACCACAGTTTTTTTCTCAGACGACAAAACTTTACCTCATACTGTGACCTCTAAAAGAGTGAGACTTGATTGAGTCCTAAAATTACTTACACTATTTTTTGTCTCAAAGTCGAGGTAACCAGAAACATAGATCCCCCCATTGGTCCAGTTTATAGCCAATGGTATTACAGATCCTGTAGGTACTGAACAGTCCATTGTAAATCGAAACACGTGACCTGTTGAAAATACAACACATGTATTAACATTATTACACTCCAGACCAGGTGTACTAAACTCTACAGTGTTGTCTTCTCTTTTCATTTCATATCCTAAATAATAACTTGAAAATTGAGAATAGATATATGGTGCAAAAAAGGCTGCTTGAACAACACAACAATAAAGTGTCCCAGCATTTTGCATGGATGCCTGCTTTAATATAGTTTACTTAATCAAACATAATAAATTATTCAAAAATCTCAAAAAATCAGGATGAGGGTAAATTTCAAACCCTGCTTTTACAACTAAATATGAAGTTATAAAGTTAAAGCACTAGAGTCCTCAGCTCTATATTGACATCAGGATGTACAATTACCTAGTTAATGATTTTACACAGTCATGATTTAATTATAACTTAGCTAGTATGTTTACACAATCTATTTCTCAGTGGCTAGTAGAAGTGTTTCCATTTTTTCTTCTTCCTTTTTTCACCAAATATCAGGATTGTGCATTTCGGGAGGACAATTTTGTACTTGTTGTAATTTAAGAACAAACACATGCTGTATCAATTGTCAATTTAGGTAATAGAGCTTTAGCCAAGGGCAGATAAACAATGGTTAACAGTAGAACAGTAGGATGTCATCAAGATTAGTGGTGTTGTTATGGACATAAGAGGAAAGGTACATTTCTATTTTACAGGGAAATTACTGTTCACATATGTAAATAAAGAATCCACATGGAATAATAAGAATTAAAATATGTTAGTGGCACAAAATTATAGAATTGATGGTCCAATGTGGCAAATTAAATGCCTTCAACCCAGGATTAGCTGTTACATGTATTGGGGCCTAATGTGGGGAGTGTTTCCCTCAGGTGTATCGTCAACTGAGTTTGAAATCCTCTCCCAATGTATTCCTATTAGAGATCCTAAGTTTTATATTCCAGTACTAACCCGAGTCTTTGTCTGTCGCTCTGACTTCTCCTACTGAATACAGTATTGGTTCGTTCTCCAGTACACTGAAAGCGTACTGCTGTGACTCAAAGCTCGGGGCATTGTCGTTAGCATCACTGATTTGTATCTGTACAGTCGCGGTAGCTACAACAAATCATCAAACATGTTAAAAATATAATACCAACTCATAAAGATGTGTCACCAACTTTAAAGCATTTAAGTATATTCATTTTTTTTTTCAACAACTCTACTGTGTACATGTATATGAAGATAGGAATTAAATTCCTCTTTATATAATACACCAAAAGTAAAGCTTTACGCCAAAAAGCATTTGGCCAGGGTTGCTTTTGTTTATAGCGATCCAAACAGTTCGACCTGTTGGACCAGAGTTGTTCGTTTATGAAATAAAGTCGGACCTAGTAATTTGATGCTGCTTTCAGGCGAGCCTTGACAAAGCCTTGCAAGGCCTGCATAAACATTTGCAGGTCCGCCAGGATTCATTCTCAAAAATGTTACATCTAAAAACAGACAAACCTGTTGTTCTGTATAAACGAACAGGCCCCAGTCTACACTGAGGCTTGCTAATAACCTCTGATATAACTGATCCAGGTTAGATAACTGTGAGTTAATGTGGGTTATTGGTTAAAAACACTCTACTTTATTTAAATGCCTCACAGACAGGTTATCAATCTAAAACACTAAAACGTCAATTGTTTACATGTCTCTGGACTTGAGCCTAATTTTTATGACTCTGGACATGAGCAAGTCTAATATTTGTTGAAAACATTTGGTCAAGAAACTATGGACTTGCTCAAGTCAATATGTAGACAGGAATAATTGACTGATGGCCAGTCTAACCACAAGAGATAAAAGCTCTAGCGACATGGTCGGGTTATACTATTGTGTACAGCACCTATAGTCAGATAGATCCTATACAGGAACATTGCAGTCTGACTATAACCATAGAACTGCGATCTCCTGTGGTCTAACACAGCTGTATGGATACCTACCACTGTTTGGGGAGTCTGGAGGTCGATGGTTTGGTAAAGCCGACCGTGCTCCGTCCTTTATAAGGATACTAAAGTAGTATATCTGTTGCTTCTCTGCATCAAATTCCAGTTTAGTTGTGATTTCTCCTGTTGCGCTATTAATACTGAAGTAATCGCTGCTGACAGCTTGTTCATAATAGGTAACCTGAAAACAATACAAATACACCTTGTTAAAATACCTGTAACGAGTCTAATTAAATACGCCTTTGTACCTAAGTCATGAGTCCAGACATCAACCTACAGGTGCTCAACATACAAAATGCCAATATATAATGTATATAAACATATGATACAGTATATACACATCATATGCTTTCGTGTGTCCAATCCAACCGACTTCAACTTTATATGATGTTCATCAGAAAAAGTATCCATGGTGACAAGCTTAAATGAAATGAATAATTTTGGAAGTTTTGAGAACAAATTTTGACCTCTGCCAATCACTTGCTTGCATCAGTTTTAGTTAAATATGTAATTAGCCATGGTAATAAGGAAGTTTTCAAATAAGGATGGATGTCTATATTCATCAACTAACCTGTCTGTCAGTGCGGTAACTTATACAGACAATCTCTGATGAACAGACAGGTGGATGAAGCAGGACAGACAGACGGACAAGACAAAAACTGCTGCATAGTAGAACTATAAATATTATGAAAATATGTAATCAGATTTTGTTTCAGCAGTTATTGAAACAGACAATAACTGCCTCCAGGTGTTGAAGTTAAAATGTTTGTGAGAAGAGCCCCAGCTTATCCCAGCTATTCTAAAGAAATAGCCTATTAAATAATAAGTTGACGACAAATAGTAAATGGATTTCATACCATGGCAAATCCAGTCACTGGAATATAGTTAGCCTCACTATATGTGTAACTAGCCATCATATTGCAGAAAGGAAATTTTCTTGTTGACATTTCCCCCCAGGAGTTATACCAGGTACTTACATTGCTAAAAGCTGGAGTAAACCTATCATCATCCACGGCAACAACGAAACCCACAACCTCCGGCGGTTGCAGTCCTTCCAACACGTCAAGTTTGATATTGTAGTTGTCAGCACTTACGAATGGCTCACCAATGACTTCCGGTTTCTGCATGTTTGCATCTTGATTTTGGATATTCACAAAGATATATGTATTTTGTGGCTCTTGCTGCTCGTTCTGTTTCGGAGAAAAAACATATTTTTTTATAAAGTATATTGAATTTTCACATTAAAGTTTGTATATGAATATTACATTTAAATAACTACCTTGTGTGTATGTTGGATCTTATATGAATCAATATATAATTAAACATCATCAGAACTACAGTATACTTTACCCCTTCTGTATCGTTGTAAGATGTCGCTTACAAATCAAGTCAAGGTCATTCTAACAGATTTTAGAGTATCTTACGCTGGCACGTTACTGCTCAAGCCGTTTAGGAACACTCTGAAGATGTTGCTTAAAAAATTAAGATATCTGACCCCTGTGACCTTGTAAATGGGTCAAGGTTATTTATTTGAATAAATTTGTTAGCCTTCTTTCCCAGCATGCCTCCTGCTAATTATCCAAAATAACTTGGTTTTAATTTTGAACTCATTTAATCCCTGTTAATTTGAAAGTGGAAATATCATATAATTATTTATATTCATTTTATACATAAGAGGGTGTCATAGCCTTTTCTGTAAGTAGGTCGCTATAGAAAAAAATTATATTGAATACTTACAGAAGCCCGCAGTATAACCTGCATTTCTGGGTGAGTTTCATATCGAATCCTTTCTTTGCCGACCACAATCTCAAAAACTGCAGTGGTACTTGTCGAGGCGGAATCTGATTCTCGTATTGTTAATAGTCCATCAACACGGTTAACAATCTGAAGACTCACAGCCGCCGTCTGGGCGACATTGGAGGAAACCGATATATTTCCTATGACTGTTCCTATGTCAAAGACTTCGGACATAATGAAGTCGTACTGGGGTTGAGGCGTGCTGGGGGGAGGGTAGGTCGACTGTAATGTCATTGTGATGGTAGCGGTGCTGGACTGTTGTGGAGTGCCTCCATCTCGAGCCATCACTACTAGCTCAATTGGGGATGTCTGCAATGGAAAAGAAATGAACCAAATATATATTAATTCAAATTATACATAATTATCACACTGTCTGCAACATCTACATGATATAGTTTGATTTGATCCTGAGAGTTTAAATTTTAACTGTATGAACAGGCGGCCAATGGACCTTAACGATCACCAGAGTTGTTTGATATTTGTTGTTAAGATCTCATCTATGATACAACTCAGGTGATCGTCACGTATGTGTGGCGAGATTCCAGGTGATGGTCACATATGTGTGGCGAGATTCCAGTCAATACTAATACTATGATTGTATTCCTGCAATTAGCTAGAGTGTATTTGGCTCTTTATTCTTAACTCTATGTATCTATGTTATAGTAGTGATGGCTAATTTGCTTGAAATCATAATCAATATTCGGTTTATATACACAGTGTATATGGTTATAGTATATCTATTTTAATTATCTATATACCAGCAGATAAGTTATGGAACATCCTATTTACTGACTTATTTGATCATGATTGGTAATCCCTGTCAATTTTCCTTCAACATGGTTAGGTTGAATATGGAAGTTGTTGCCTGGTTACCTAGCTGATACAGTTTAGTAATTTATACACATACATTAAGTTACTTACACTAATGTCGAGACTATTTGCTATTGTTACGATGCCTCTTTGACTGTCAATCGAGAAATATCCTCCTGGATTTTGTGTGAAATCATAGGTTACAGCTGCATTAACTCCTGTGTCCAAATCCTCAGCCAGAACGACAATGCCAACAGTACTTAGACTAGACTGTGTGTATAAGGTTTGTGAGTACGACGAGGAGGTAAACACGGGCGTGTGGTCGTTGGTATCTTCAAGCTCTACACGGAAAGTACACAAGTCACTAAGCGGGGGGTCTCCTCGATCAGTTGCCTGCACTGTAATGAACATTGTACCAATAAATTGCTCCCTATCCAGAACCTTGGTTGTGGTTATGTTACCAGTCTTCTTGTCAATGCTGAAATAATTTGAGGCGTCAAAGTTTCTATCTAGTCGCAGGGAGTATTCTATTTCACTGTTCTCCCCTCGACTCTCGTCCAATGCTTCGACCTTAAAAAGAAAAACAATTACATTTACTAGTTAGATCAATATTTCTCACATTGTGTCTTCATCATATTAATTTATCCCCATATATCTGTTGTTATTAATGGTAGAAAATATGGTCTGGCAAACAAAAAAAAATTCACTCATTAGTTATGTGTTGACTTAAGTTTACACCTGTGTTCATTGCCTAGACCATTCTGTTTGGTCATGGAGTACACTGTCAGGACTCAAAAGTACATCTTGTGCTGCAGGAGAACCTACAGCACCCCAAGTATACCATATGGCTTATAAGACAACAGGCATACCTTCAGTCATGATTCAAACAAATTAGATCACAGTACGCTGAACCGGTATATATGATATTTTCAGTGGGAACATATAATACAGCACACTCGAAAATTCCAGGAGTTATGCCTACTTACTTAAGGGGGTATACCTATAATACACCAGTATAGAACTTACTGTGAGGTAAGACCAGGGGGTATACCTATAATACACCAGTACAGAACTTACTGTGACGATAGACCATATACAAATGTACCTATAATACACCAGTATAGAACTTACTGTGACGACAGATCAGGGGGTATACCTATAATACACCAGTATAGAACTTACTGTCAGGTCAGACCAGGGGGTATACCTATAATGCACCAGTATAGAACTTACTGGTGTATTATAGGTACATTTGTATCTGGTGTATTATAGGTACATCTGTATACTCCCTGGTCTGACCCCACAGTAAGTTCTATACTGATGTATTAAAGGCATACCCCCTGGTCTGTCGTCACTATACCCCCTGTTCTGACCTCACAGTAAGTTCTATACTGGAGTATACCTATAATACACCAGTATAGAACTTACTGTGAGGTCAGAACAGGGGGTATACCTATAATACACCAGTATAAAACTTACTGTGACGACAGACCAGGGGGTATGCCTTTAATACACCAGTATAGAACTTACTGTGAGGTCAGACCAGGGGGTATACCTATAATACACCAGTATAGAACTTACTGTGAGGTCAGACCAGGGGGTATACCTATAATACACCAGTATAGAACTTACTGTGAGGTCAGACCAGGGGGTATACCTATAATACACCAGTATAGAACTTACTGTGAGGTCAGACCAGGGGGTATACCTATAATACACCAGTATAGAACTTACTGTGAGGTCAGACCAGGGGGTATACCTATAATACACCAGTATAGAACTTACTGTGAGGTCAGACCAGGGGGTATACCTATAATACACCAGTATAGAACTTACTGTGAGGTCAGACCAGGGGGTATACCTATAATACACCAGTATAGAACTTACTGTGAGGTCAGACCAGGGGGTATACCTATAATACACCAGTATAGAACTTACTGTGAGGTCAGACCAGGGGGTATACCTATAATACACCAGTATAGAACTTACTGTGAGGTCAGACCAGGGGGTATACCTATAATACACCAGTATAGAACTTACTGTGAGGTCAGACCAGGGGGTATACCTATAATACACCAGTATAGAACTTACTGTGAGGTCAGACCAGGGGGTATACCTATAATACACCAGTATAGAACTTACTGTGAGGTCAGACCAGGGGGTATACCTATAATACACCAGTATAGAACTTACTGTGAGGTCAGACCAGGGGGTATACCTATAATACACCAGTATAGAACTTACTGTGAGGTCAGACCAGGGGGTATACCTATAATACACCAGTATAGAACTTACTGTGAGGTCAGACCAGGGGGTATACCTATAATACACCAGTATAGAACTTACTGTGAGGTCAGACCAGGGGGTATACCTATAATACACCAGTATAGAACTTACTGTGAGGTCAGACCAGGGGGTATACCTATAATACACCAGTATAGAACTTACTGTGAGGTCAGACCAGGGGGTATACCTATAATACACCAGTATAGAACTTACTGTGAGGTCAGACCAGGGGGTATACCTATAATACACCAGTATAGAACTTACTGTGAGGTCAGACCAGGGGGTATACCTATAATACACCAGTATAGAACTTACTGTGAGGTCAGACCAGGGGGTATACCTATAATACACCAGTATAGAACTTACTGTGAGGTCAGACCAGGGGGTATACCTATAATACACCAGTATAGAACTTACTGTGAGGTCAGACCAGGGGGTATACCTATAATACACCAGTATAGAACTTACTGTGAGGTCAGACCAGGGGGTATACCTATAATACACCAGTATAGAACTTACTGTGAGGTCAGACCAGGGGGTATACCTATAATACACCAGTATAGAACTTACTGTGAGGTCAGACCAGGGGGTATACCTATAATACACCAGTATAGAACTTACTGTGAGGTCAGACCAGGGGGTATACCTATAATACACCAGTATAGAACTTACTGTGAGGTCAGACCAGGGGGTATACCTATAATACACCAGTATAGAACTTACTGTGAGGTCAGACCAGGGGGTATACCTATAATACACCAGTATAGAACTTACTGTGAGGTCAGACCAGGGGGTATACCTATAATACACCAGTATAGAACTTACTGTGTGGTCAGACCAGGGGGTATACCTATAATACACCAGTATAGAACTTACTGTGTGGTCAGACCAGGGAATATACAAATGTACCTATAATACACCAGTATAGAACTTACTGTGAGGTCAGACCAGGGGGTATACCTATAATACACCAGTACAGAACTTACTGTGACGATAGACCAGGGGGTATACCTATAATACACCAGTACAGAACTTAATTACTGTGGGGACAGACCAGGGGGTATACCTTAATATACCAGTACAGAACTTACTGTGACGACAGGGGTTCCTATAGGCTGTTCTTCCATCACTTTAGGCTTATAGTTACAGTTGAACTGTGGCTTCTTGTTCACAGCGTCTATAATATAGACTGTCACGGAGGCTGTGCTTGTGTGAAGTTGCACACTCTTGTCCCTGCAACAGCCGTTATCATCCACAGCCAACACCTCAAAGTTGTACTCGTTGACGTTGTCAGGAATAATATTGACAGTTGGATTTAGCCTTATAATACCCGTATGTGAATTTATGGAAAAAATGTTGTGACTGCCACCTAGAAAACAAATTACAAGAATAATAAAAATGTACAGTAAAAAGTTCCTTTTAAATGGAGATGATAAGGACCAGAGTGTATCCAGTACGGATACAGCTTAATGGTTTATAAGGATATAATGTTAAGTTTAAATAAACACATGTACAATTAGCATTTTGTGTGATTTCACTTAACAAGAGTTCTGATTTATAAGCTTTCAGAGTCATCAATGTTTGCATAATTTTATCCTAAGTGACCACCAGGCCACACAGACGATACTAAGTGACCACCAGGCCACACAAACGATACTAAGTGACCACCAGGCCACACAAACGATAGTAAGTGACCACCAGGCCACACAGACGATATTAAGTGACCACAAAGCCACACAGACGATACTAAGTGACCACCAAGCCACACAAACCATAGTAAGTGCCCACCAAGCCACACAAACCATACTAAGTGACCACCAGGCCACACAAACCATAGAAAGTGACCACCAGGCCACACAGACGATCCTAAGTGACCCCCAGGCCACACAGACGATACTAAGTGACCACCAGGCCACACAGACGATACTAACTGACCACCAAGCCACACAAACCATAGTAAGTGACCACCAAGCCACACAAACCATACTAAGTGACCACCTGGCCACACAAACTATAGTAAGTGACCACCAGGCCACACAAACCATAGAAAGTGACCACCAGGCCACACAGACGATACTAAGTGACAACCAGGCCACACATACTATAGTAAGTGACCACCAGGCCACACAAACCATAGTAAGTGACCACAAGGCTACGCAAACTATAATAAGTGACCACCAGGCCGCACAGACGATACTGAGTGACCACCAGGCCACACAAACCAAACCAAGTGACCACCAGGCCACACAGACAATACTAAGTGACCACCAGGCCACACAAACCATAGTAAGTGACCACCAGGCCACACAAACTATACCAAGTGACCACCAGGCCACACAGACGATACTAAGTGACCACCAGGCCACACGAACCATAGTAAGTGCCCACTAGGCCCCACGAACCATAGTAAGTGACCACCAGGCCACACGAACCATAGTAAGTGCCCACTAGGCCCCACGAACCATAGTAAGTGACCACCAGGCCACACAGACCATAGTAAGTGACCACCAGGCCACACAGACCATAGTAAATGACCACCAGACCACACAGACCATACTAAGTGACCACCAGGCCACACAGACCATAGTAAGTGACCACCAGGCCACACAGACCATAGTAAGTGACCACCAGGCCACACAGACCATAGTAAGTGACCACCAAGCCACACAGACCATAGTTAGTGACCACCAGGCCACACAAATCATACTAAAAGACCAACAGGCCACACAAACCATACTAAAAGACCAACAGGCCACACAAACTATACCAAGTGACCAACAGGCCACAAAAACAATAGTAAGTGACCACCAGGCAACACAAACTAAAGTAAGTGACCACCAGGCAACACAAACCATAGTTAGTGACCACCAGGCCACACAAATCATACTAAAAGACCAACAGGCCACACAAACCATACTAAAAGACCAACAGGCCACACAAACTATACCAAGTGACCAACAGGCCACAAAAACAATAGTAAGTGACCACCAGGCAACACAAACCAAAGTAAGTGACCACCAGACAACACAAACCATAGTTAGTGACCACCAGGCAACACAAACCATAGTAAGCAACCCCCAGACAACACAAACTAAATTAAGTGACCACCAGGCAACACAAACCATACTAAGTGACCACTAAGCAACACAAACCATACTTAGTGACCACCAGGCCACACAAACCATACTAAGTGACCACCAAGCCACACAAACTATACTAAGTGACCACCAGGCCACACAAACCATAGTAAGTGACCACCAGGCCACACAAACCACAGTAAGTAACCACCAGGCAACAAAAACTAAAGTAATTGACCACCAGGCAACACAAACCATTTTAAGTGACCACCAGGCCACACAAACCATAATGAGTGACCACGAGGCCACGCAAACAATACTTAGCGGCCACCAGGCCACACTAAGCATTTTAAGTGACCACCAAGCTACACAAACCATACATGGTGACTACCAGGCCACACAGACGATATGTAAATGCCACTTGTAACTTGAAACAGTCAACACTGCTATTTGTAACAGTGGCTTAAATCAATGACAGCAAATATTGCGTTTAAACCTACCTCCTAAGCTGTATGTGATATCATCACCGTCGACTGTTTAAACCTACCTCCTAAGCTGTATGTGATACTATCACCGTCGTCCGTTTAAACCTACCTCCTAAGCTGTATGTGATATCATCACCGTCAACCGTTTAAACCTACCTCCTAAGTTGTATGTAATACCGTCACCATCTTCCGTTTAAACCTACCTCCTAAGCTGTATGTGATACCATCACCGGATTCCGTTTAAACCTACCTCCTAAGCTGTATGTTATACCCTCACCGTCTTCTGTTTAAACCTACCTCCTAAGCTGTATGTGATATCATCACCGTCAACCGTTTAAACCTACCTCCGAAGTTGTATGTAATACCGTCACCATCTTCCGTTTAAACCTACCTCCCAAGCTGTATGTGATACCATCACCGTCAACCGTTTAAACCTACCTCCTCAGCTGTATGTTATACCATCACCGTCTTCTGTTTAAACCTTCCTCCTAAGCTGTATGTGATACCATCACCGTCAACCGTTTAAACCTACCTCCTAAGCTGTATGTTATACCATCACCGTCAACCGTTTAAACCTACCTCCAAAGCTTAATTCGATACAATCACCATCGTCCGTTTAAACCTACCTCCTAAGCTGTATGTGATACCATCACCGTATTCTGTTTAAACCTACCTCCTAAGCTGTATGTGATACCATCACCGTATTCTGTTTAAACCTACCTCCTAAGCTGTATGTGATACCATCACCGTCGTAATCATAAGCAGTCATATCGAGGACAAGTTTCCGATCCTCTGATGCACCAGGGTCATCTGCGTCATCTAGAACTTTCATTGTGATCGATGGATCAACGAATATTGGTGCCAGATCATTGACATTTTGAAGTTCAATGATGACTGTGGCTGAGCTAGTCCTTTTCAAGTTCAAAACACCACCATCATCCACTGCAAACACAGTGAATCTATGCATGGGGGTTGTCTCGTAGTCCAAAGGCCTGGAAAACACAGTCCAACATGACACAAACAAATGTATAGACAAAAAGCAATTTATTTTATATTTTTGTAAATAGTTTGTACTCAATTTTGCAATCAAGTCTCAAACAACTTATTTGCAAGGATTTAACTATGCAATAACAACATGTTGCACAATAACAAGTAAATCTATAGTTTCTTCAAATGTGTTTAAGTAAATACATACCTGGTTATGTGTTTTAGTAAATACATACCTGGTAATGAGTTTTAGTAAATACATACCTGGTAGTGTGTTTTAGTAAATACATAATTTGTAATGTATTTTGGATATGAGAAGGGACATAACTAAAACATGGACAGGATGTGAGAATGTACGGGTACACTGCTGCAGAATGTTGTGATATAGCTGTGGCATTTACACAATTTAAATGAAAACTTTTGAGGAAATTATCCAAACAAGGGCAATTTTCATTTATTGCGATCCAACCAAACGGTTGAGCTGGTTGGACCATGGTTGGACCATGGGGCATAACTCCCATAAAACAGCACAAGAACACAACTTTAGAGTGTTGTGATTTCATTAGTGGAGTTTTATGGAATAATAACTGTGGAAATAGTCTAGAAGGATTCTGTCTTCAGAAAGACGAGCAGATGGACTCCAATATAATATCCCTTTAGCTTGTTGAGGGAGGTCAACCATCCCCTCCTCATAGGTAATGCGGACAATGCAGTATGGTACTTACTTTTTCACTCGTATGTTTCCAATGTTATTGAGAGTGACGACGTCAAACCAATCATCATCTAAAGTGTAGGTAATACTCGAACTGGTGTCCTTGTCTGTTGCCGTAACTAGAAATTGTACATAAAAGTAACATTCTAATTCATTTGAGATGTAACATGACATTTGATTGGTCAATCAAAATAATTTGCGACAGTAAAATCATGATATACCTTCCGCAAATTTCTAATTTGCGTATGAAGCCTGAGTGACGTCACAAATGATAACGTGACCCTGAAAGGTCAACGTAATTCCGCCTCACTTTGAATATTTGTGACGTCACCAATCTAGAGCAGAGAGAACCAGAATTTGAAGAAAACACTAAAAAATATCTTGAAAATGGTCATTTCTTTCGGTGGTTTTGGTTGATATGAATGAGAATATGGTTGATTCACTGGCCATGATATGCCCACCACATATTAAATTAGCAGTTGTTTATATGGTTGAAATATGGAAAACATTCTTGTAATTGATATTCATAGGAGCAAGTATTGCATGACAGGATCCTCGAAGAATAATTAGCTCTGTTTATAAAGGTCAGATGATGATAGCTATCAGTTGTGTGGAGCCTTACTGTAATTGACCTTGTTATTAAGTTTAAAGGTCAGATGATGATAGCTATCAGTTGTGTGGAGCCTTACTGTAATTGACCTTGTTATTAAGTTTAAAGGTCAGATGATGATAGCTATCAG